GGAGATTGAGGCACAGAGAGGTTAAGTTACTTGCCCAAGATCACCAGCTATTGAGGCCCAGAGGCCAGCACAACCTTCTTTGACCTAGATATGCCTGACACTACTAGTGCTGAACCTGGAGCAGAGAAAAACCCAAGTCCAGAGTGCTCTGAGGACATGAAAACCATGCACGATTCCTTAGAAAGGCTTCTGCACTAAATAACTCAATTTCATGCTTCAGAGGGTTTGAGAAGGCAAAGCCTACACAAGGTCCTGGCAAACTCAGAACTCTGGACAGACCAGCACCAACTCTCTTAAGCACCTCCGGCCAGAGGGGAGGGTGTGCAGTGCCCAGGATGCATCCTCATCCAGGCAAATTTTTTTTCTGGGCCAGGAATGCAACCAATGAATTGGGGCAGAATTTGGGAAAACTCAGTTGTCCCTCAGTGGGTTGAATGCAAGCATTTTATAGAAATATTTCCCTTCTCGAGACTGATGTAAACCATGCATTAAAATGGACTGGCATTAGCTGCTTTACACACTACCTGGACTCTGCAGTTTACCTATGTGCCACAAAGTTCCTGCATGTAGAAGTTCTCCTGAAAAAAATGCTGATAGACTTTCCAAACTACATAGAATATCACATTCCCAGCACAGTGCTATTGTATCATTATGGATATCTGCAACCACTTACTGTTTTTAAAACATGTGGATTCATATATTCATGTTCTAAGCTTGGGAGAGCTCATGAAGACTGCCAGTCTCACTAGAAGCAAAAACCTGCTACCTTAGAGCCTCTGGCCAGCACACAGCTGAGCTCTGCAGCCCAGACGGGCTCTTCCATGGGACACCTCATCTTGCCTTGGCTATTGTGTCTGATTCCTTTATTTAGTTAAAGGAAATATATCACAGACCAACAAGACAGAGAGTGGTGACAATGATCTAAAAAGTGTTTCTTTAATACATTAAAAGTAATTACCTCCAAATTCAGCTCTAGTGTGAAATAAGGTCTAGAAAACGAGAGGTGATGAACTCCACATCGCCTGCTTCTGGCTCTGCAGGGGTCATCAAGCCTGATCCCCTCCCTACCTCAGGGACACAGCTCAGGACAAATGAGGTAAGAATCTGGAAAGCATCTGATTCCTCTGCAACTCAAATTATATTTTCATAAGATCTTTTTGTCAGCCACAAATATCAGCAATAATCGATGCTAACTCACTTTTGGAACAAACAGATGGCATATTTTAAAACTGATGTTTTCCCAGCAGGAAGTGAGCCTGCAGAGGCATGGGGCAGTGTCTGTGACCAGCCCGACAGGGCTCTGCTGACCGAGCTCCCTGGAAAGAGGTTGTCTCAGAGGCTCTCCCTAGCCGACTCTTTTCCTAACCCTTTTGTGCCTCATCTGAGAATTACTAACAGCCCTGGCAGATAACTTTTTCCTTAAGAATTCTCCAAAAGGCTGAGTCAAAAACATCTCCCCACCCAGTTTCTGAAATGGAACCAAATTCCATGATAACAACTAACTCATAACAGACATCATAAATTAAGTTGAATAGCAGAACGTTGTTAAGTGCTTTCTCCTGCCAGACCCATCTGCCGGAGTCATCAGGGGCTGCTTGAAATATGCAGGGTGGGAAAAACCATGAGACACATGAGAAGTTACTGTCACAGGAGACAGGGGGTCGCTGGTTAAGAGGAGGTCACAGAAACAGTGCATTTGGCAAACTGACTCAAGGAAGGATGTAGTTCCCTAATTTTCATAACATAGTCTCTTGAGAGTCATCCAGTGACCCTGAAATGCTCTATCAGAGAAGCATAAAAAGGGACATGGCTGAAAGAAAACCTTTCAAAAGCAAAGGGCACAAGAGTACAGCAAGCAACTCTTTCACGGTAAGGCCTACTCAGTATGTCCCCTAAACCCAAACATGGGTCCCAAGGACACAGGCAGCCAATCACGGCAGTTCTATCACCGCAGAGAGACACTTCCTGCCCTTTTTGTACTCTGGAGGACATCGCAGACCTGGTCTCAGCAATGGGCACTGAAGGAAATGTACGCCACGTGTGCTTACACAGTGCAAGTCTGGTGCATTACTGCTTCAAGAGGGTTAGGAATGGGGACATCAGGACGGGTGCTGCTGAGCACGAGGCTGTCACTGCCACATGCTTCACCCAAGGCATCAGAAAGAAATGAACCCAGAGGCCCAGGCAGAAGGAGCCAGGCCTGCACAGGCAGAAGGTGTACAGGGTAAAGCCACCGCCTGCAGTGCAGGCACCCCATATGTGCGCCGTTTTCTCTCCTGAACAGTCATCAACCCACCATTGATGATATATAATTTTTGAGATCCACTGAGGGGGCCAGAGCTGTGGCGTAGTGGGTAAAGCTGTCGCTTGTAGTGCCGGCATCCCATATGGGCACCGGTTCGAGTCCTGGCTGCTCCACTTCCAATCTAGCTCTCTGCTACGGCCTGGGAAAGCAGTAGAAGATGGCCCAACTCCTTGGGCCCTGCACCTGTGTGGGAGACCCAGAGGAAGCTCCTTGCTCCTGGCTTTGGACTGCCGCAACTCTGACCATTGCAGCCATCTGAGGAGTGAACCGGCGGATGGAATACTTCTCTCTCTCTTTGCCTCTGTCTCTGCATCTCCTCTGTCTAATTCTCTCAAATAAATAAATAAATCTTAAAAAAAAAAAACTCATGGGATTTCTGCGCTCAGGAATGAACTTAAAAATAACACATTAGCTGAAATAAACACATTGGTGAATTACCTGCTCTGATAAAAAACACTTAATAGGTAGATCTTTAAAAATTTCCAGTAGACTTTTAGGGTAAAATGATTCATTTCTGCAAACACAGACTTTCCTGTTGGTGATGGATTCTTTCTTTCTCAACGGGAACAAATAAAATCTGCATTCCAAGTTCATGTGTGCCCCACTCTGCTCATCTCACCATTGCTACTACCAGGGTAGAATCTCATTTTTGTGGAAGCCCCTGTGAAGGCCAATGAGCCACCTGCCTCACAGCCCAGGGCTGCACAGGGTGAGAGCAGTAGGGTTTAAGCCAGAGAGGCCCCACTAGGCCAGAGGCGATTCCATCTCAGACTGACAAACTAGAAATGGAGGCCCTATCCAGGACAGAGGGGGCGTTTCCTTGGTGCAATGGCCCACCTTTCCTGCAAACTGCCTGAAAGTGCAGTCACACCTGCTTCTTAGATAAACCCCAGAAGAGTCTTCACGAACCCCTGAAGAGGTAATTTCTTTTGTAAGATTTATTTTATCTATTTGAAAGGCACAGTTATAGAGAGGGAGACACAGAGAGAGAACTTCCATCTACTGAGTCACTCCCCAAATGGCTGCAATGGCCAGGGCTGGGCAAGATGGGAGCCAGGAGCCAGGAGCTTCCTCTGGGTCTCCCTCACAGGCTGCAGCTTCACCTGCTACGCTACCACACCAGCCCCCAAAGAGGTAACTTCTTATGTTCATCTCTTTGGTGATTCCATCCAAATGATGTATTTAATTTTTTTTATAAATCTTTAAATGTATATCTAGGGCAAGCCCAGAACAGATCCTTGAGAGTATGCCTTGCAAGACTGAATTTGGGACTTGATGGAGATTCTTTAGAAGGGTGTGTGAACAATCTGAATGAGGCTGGCCATTCCCCTTCACACTCCAGCAACTATCATTTCTGACTGTTCTTTTAAGTGGCACTCATGTAAACTGACTAGGAACTCAATCACTCTGATTATTTTTTCAGAAAGTAAAACTAATAAGCATTACTATAACAAAATGTTCCCAAGTTCAAACTTCAATTTCTAAAATAAATGGCCATGAAGTAGGGCCCCAGAGAAATGCTATTAGACCCAATGTCTGAACATGTCATTTATCTTATTTCTTATTATTATTCCTGGCAAGAAATATCTGCTAGACACTAATAAGAGCACAGAGTGCTGAACAAAATAAGATAATCTTTTTACTCTCCAGCTCTGACATGCTAAGTACTCTAAGTTCTAGGCATTATTATTTGGTGAACTCAAAAAGTAGCATGAAAAAAATCTAGTTACTCAAACTAGAAGGATTTAAAAATGAAATCGTCATAGCAGAGCAATATTTTACACTTCTTGATTGTCCTGGAAACTACAGAACATTTAATACTATGGATTCTTCCACAAACCAAGTGAGAAGAAACTGAAGGCTAGGATTCTAAGAGGTGTCATCTGAAATAACCTCCTAAAGCCTGGACTCTGTTCTCTGCCAGCCATTATGTCCCCAGACACTGTTCCTTCCCAAGAGCAAATGTGCTATGGCAGTCCTGGCCAACAGCACACTCCTTCAGCGAGCACCAGGACCAGGGTCCCATGCAATGCAGGGCGAGAAACTTGGGATTCTGATTTGATGGTGACGTCAATAAAACCCCTACTTATTGCCCAAAGTTTTAAATGAAGAATTTGCTCCCAGCATTCCAGAAATACTTATCTCTGTGGGAAGAGGACATTTCATCGCCATCAGTGCCTCCACTGGCTTTGACAAGTTTCTTAAGGTCTGCCATCAGTTAAACCCAGGATTCCAAATTTTACTGTCAGTCTCTTCTGTGGGTTTTTAAATTCTACCAAGATAAAATCATGGGAAATTGGGCCACTTCTGAAGAAGGCACACCCACACAAACAGTATTGATACAGCCAGCTTGACCATTGGGGGTCATCACTGTTGCAGGCCGAGGCCAGGGCAGGTTCTCTGTGCCTTGCTGCATTCAGGTGCTGGCAGGGTACCACAGGGCTGCCACAAAGGATGCTGATAGGAAGCCATGTGACTGTACTAGGAATGGGAGATGGAAAGAGTGGAGCAATTTCTCTTGAATCCTCAGAGTTTAAATCCTCTCAGCCTGGCCCACACAGTCTCTGCCCCTGCCATGAGGTCTAGGCACCAGTCTCACACAGAGTGACTATTCAGAAATGCTGCTAATGAATTGTCATTTACTGATTGAGAGAGGCCATTCACCTCTCTGTTGAAAGTGCTGGTGACAGCTCACCTTATCACTGTCCAGGGTGTTCTGAGAGGTGCGGGAAGCAATTGAAATCGTATCAGGCTGGCTGCTGCCATCCCCTTGGCTGTCCAGGTCCTCTCCATCCCTGCAGTACAAAGAAACTTTCAATTCTTGACACTGCTAGACTGGGAAAGAGCATCTATCAGTTGCTAGATAAATAATTGAATTGCTGAAAGCAGTGCACACTGGCCTGTGTGACTGCACACTACCACTGCTACATTAAAGACAATAAATCACACTCCATTAAGCGCAAGCTTTTTGCTACTTGTTGTGTTAACCATCTAACACATATCATTCCAGTGGATACTCAGCACAATAAAATATGAGTGATTTGGTTATCTGCATTTTAGAAATGAGAAAACAGCAACATCTACATGCTCTGTAACTTGGTCAAGGTCACTCGCATGATTCACACAGGCACAATCAATCTTGCTTGGGGCACAAAGGGGAACCCAGTGAGGGACACACACAGCCTTTGAGCCAATGGAGTTTATTGTCTTGACACAGCAGTTTCATTACTAAGAATGTTAAACACAATCGGTATCTTTAAAAAACGTGCTTTATGAAACTGATTCTTGAAGAATGGTAAGTTAAAGCTGCCTTGTTCACTCTCAACCAAGTAAACAAACTTACAAAAGAGTCCCCCTGAATACTCACCTCCTTCCCTTCTGCCTTGTAGTGGGAGCTGTTTTGGGGATGTGGATGGGTTCCTTCAGGGCTCCCTTCAGGTGGATTGTCCGCTCCTGGATCACTTCACGGATGTGTTTTATCCAGTCTTGCTTGTTCTCTATGCTGGAAGCCTTAACAAGGTGTCAGATCATTCAGGAGACAGAACGCCCTTGCTACTACCTGTACCAACCACACGCAGGTCTCCCACATTCTTTGAGTTTCAAATTCTCAAAAGGACACTAGCAGAAAAGCAACCACATCCCATGGTTAATGTGCCAACAAATAATAAAATTTTTTTAAATTGAATTTTTTATTTTCTGGATCTCTGACTATTCTACCAATCAATCACTCTCAAATCCAAGATCTACAGCAGCCTTGGGTAAATGTGAAAATAGAGTCACCCCCAAACCAAACTGTCTCTGAGCCTAACTGGGCAGAGACCAAGCGTTGGTCAGTGACACCTGCTGCCTTGTCCACTGGCCTCATCAAGCAGCAGCAGAACACCTTTCCCCAATGCCAGATGAGGTCTTCAGGTACACTCTCTCCATCACCCGGCAAGGGCTCCAAGGAGTAGTGCCCTTGGTCATGCTTGTTTAATGCTAGGACTTCAAAAGTTTGTGGAAAACAGAATTAAAAGAAAGCTTACAGGGCTAGTGCTGCGGTGCAGTGGGTTAAAGTCCTGGCCTGCAGCACCCAATGTGGGTGCCGGTTTGAGTTCCAACTGCTCCATTTCCAATCCAGCTCCCTGCTAATATTCCTGGGAAAGCAGTGGAAGATGGCCCAAGTGCTTGGGACTTTGCATACATATGGGAGACCTGGAAGAAGCTCCTGGCTCCTGGCTTCGGATTAGCTCAGCTCTGGCCATTGTAGCCATTTGAGGAGTGAACCAGTGAATGGAAGACCTCTCTCTCTCTCTCTCTCTGTGTCTCTGCCTCTTTCTGTAACTCTTTCAAATAAATAAATAAATCTTAAAAAAAAATGAAATCTTACTTCACTGCAAATTTTTTTGAAATCTATGCACAGTTTTTTCATAATGTGCATTTTCCATGAACATTTTGAAGGTTGCTCATATGTACAAATATGAAAAATTTCTTGCACCAAAATAAACATCTTTTAATTCAATTTTCCATGAACTTTCTGAAACATCCTTGTAAAAAGACAAATGAGATGCGGACACTAAGAAATGTGCCCAAGGTCACCAACTGCCCAATCATCCATGGTGGAGTTGCATGAATTTGATAAAGCTTTGGAGAACAGTTCTCTGGAAATGGTTCAACACACATCTGCTGCCTGCACACATTGGCAGCACATTTTCCAGGCATTTTTTTTTTTTCACTTTGCCTCAAAGGAAGTATCATCTCTTTTCACATGTTCTGGGCCTTGGTAACAATTTTCTGATTTCCTCACAGAAAACACCAACTCCCTATGATATAAGCATAATTCCCTGTAAATGATTAATGTAATTGTCAGTGGGATCATAGATGAGATCACGAAGGGAGGGGAGCCCAACATTTCTCATTGTGTATTCTGTGTTTTTAAAACAGAAAATCTGAGCCCATGCTGGGAAAGGAATTTAAAATTGATAACATTCTTTCCTATGTAAAACGTTCAAACCAGAGACCAGGTCTATAGAGTTACTTAGAGGTTATACCAGGGAAGTGAATGTCAGATCAGGGCAGCCTACTCTCCCTTCTCCCAGTTCTGAGGGAGGAGGCAGAAAGGTGGTTAGGGAACAGAGATGCTATGTACACAAGTGTCTTAGGAAAGAAAAGTTTGAAAGCTGCAGAACTGTCACCAGAATTTAAATACCTGATACAAACATTTGAGAGGTTACATGAGAAGTATCTGACAAATAACATTTGGCAGAGTTTGTAAATAATGGAGGAAAACTGCTCATGTGGTTCAGAAACAGAAAATGGCATGTGAATTGATCACTATGCTGATGGGCAATAATTTTCTTAACCTTAAAGAAATTAAACAAGGAAAAAATGTCAAATTTTCACAACAGTAAGAGAAAGGTGTCTACAGTAAAAAGTAAAGTAAAGTAAAAAGTCTGACTTGGTTAAGGCAAGAGAAAAATCTGTTTCACACTGTTGGAAGTCTTGACCTGTAAGGACTTAGAAATAAAACTCTCCCTTCCAGACAATAAAAGTAAAAAAGACCAAAATTTTGTTTTACAACTACAAGGCCATTACCATTGCTGCAGTTAACTAATACCATCGTCTTCACCACCACCACCATTACCACCACACCTCCATCTACACCCTTACTACTACTTCTACTACCATCTACATTGGGACCACCACCACCATCTGTATCACCACCTTCACCATCTATACCATCACCACCCCACCCTCAACATCACTTATGCCACACTATCACCATTACCTAAACCGTCACCACCAACATCTATACCACTACCACCAGCAAAATTTATACCCTTACTTTCTTCTATATCATTACACTACCAACTGTACTATCACCATTGCCTCCACTATCACATCTCACCATCACCACCACAGAGCCATCCCTGAAATTAAGGAGGATATCATTCCCTTTGGTCTCTCCTTGGAAGTCAGAAGATTATATCAAACGGCCTAGAAAATGTTCAACTGGAGAAGCCCACAGGAAGTATTACTTGTCAGCTGTCACATGAGCACTTTATTATGTCCTAAATGGACACAGTCCATTGCTGGCTAAAACACCTGGCACTACTTCTCAGAAGCACATTTCAGCATCTGCCACTGAAGCTAATTTGGATAAATACATAACATACGTAAGATGGAAGTTTTTTTCATTTTTTTAAGCCATAGTTCCATTTATCATCCTGCAAACAGTAGGAGGACTAGGAAGAGGGGCCCAGCCTGGATTCTCTCCCATTATTGCCACGGGTTCCAGTTTGCTTCCTCAACCTAGGAGGCCAGAGGTACTTAGCCTAGGGTTAGGGTAGACCCAGACACTGACCATGAGGACACAGCAGAGTCCAGCTGGTAAGCTGGAAGTTTTAAGGTCCTGAACCTTAAAATTTTTACTCCTCAGAAAAATTCAGTTACCTAAAATGTAGCTATCAAGGTAATCTCTGCACAATAGGCCTTTATGGCAGTATTAAAAAGAACACATTGGCTTGGTACTCATACATTCACTGCAAAACACCCCACTGTTCATAAGTGAAGACCTCAGAAACATGATGGCTTCCACAGCCAGCAGCCATTAAAGATTGGGCTCTGAGCAAGCAAAGTTCAGATGAATAGCTCAGAATGCTGGAACTTCTGAGGCAATGAAAAGGCATGCAAGAGACAATAGCCGACATGCAGGTTCACACACCAGAGTGTCCTATTATGCCCTCGGCTCATTGCTCAGTATCCTACACATCCTCAGCTCCACTTCCCCACAGCAGCCCAAAGCTTTTATGGTCTTTCCAGACAGCAGGTTCTATCTGCACTTTCTCAACCACAGAAGGAGGGAAGACATCCTTGGGCTCTTCACCATTCCTGGGAGAGGTTAAGATAATGAGTTCAAATCAAATGTTCAAAAATATTGTCTTCCCCTAAAGGCTGTAACACCTAAAAAATCCTTAGTGTCTGTGATCTGCAAATGCTATCAGTACCGACACTCTCACCTCAAACTACAAAGTACCAGGGATCTGCAGAGGCTGTGGGCATGTCTTAGTCCCTCAAGTGCACCCAATTTTTTTTTTTCCTTTGGAAACTCAAGTGTACAGAAAGAGTTGTTGGCTTGCATTTCATTCCTCCTGTACCTCCACTTCCTGAATGTATTACACAATCAATTATGTCTAAGACTGGACAAATGGAGTAAGTCTTAAGAGGCCACCTTTCATTTGTTCCTTTAGGAGGCATTTGGAAGTTTAGGTCAAGACTGTTTACCACCAGACAATTTGTTCCAGCAGTCACCAACCCCAACAGAACACATCAAGAACAAAGAAAACAATGTGGACATGGGCAGGAAGATAAAGCAAAGAGAGGCACAGTAGGAGTTTTGCACAGCGCATCCCCAGCTTCAAATGAACGTACCTTAAGGACAATTTTATTATCCGAAGTTGGCGTCCTCCCCACCCACAGTGCAAATTTGCAAGGATCTCCTTCAACATGTTCTGTGACACCCAACTCTGATGTCTGGATAAAAAGATAATTATGTAATTAGGTGACAGTAAACTTATGGCAGGATGTACAACAGAGCCCCAGAAAATAGTTTTTGGAGACTAGTGGCCATGCTAGGTTTTAAGAAACATAGTTCCTTTACACTGGTAGGTAACCATATTTTAGCTAAAATGAGAAAATTCTCTTCTCAGACTATGTGTGTTAGGTTTCATTTGCTTCCTCCGAGCTCCTCTACTGCAAATGCCAACAATGCAGGTCAACAAGCAGAAGACTCAGAGGAAGGAAAGCCAAAAGATCTGAAAGCCTGAACAACCAAAGGCTGGCCATCTTCAGTCTCATCATCTTCAAAGCTGTTGCTTTGTTAAGCAAGCCTACTATGCATTCCAGAATGGTGCAGTGACTGTAAGCTTTCAGCATGAATGACTTAGCTTCACAGAAAACAGAGCATGTTTTAACAGCTAGGTTATTTTCCAATTTCTTTGTCAATGGCATTAACTTTTAGTATTTCACTGGTAACATTGAAGGCAAGGAGACAGAATCCTTCTTGTGACACATGCAGACCACAGGGGAGAGCAGGAGGCCCACACTTCAGCACCCCCATCCCCCACCTCCAGAGCAGCCCCAGGGCATTCTCCCTCCAGCCAAGGAAGTGATTCACAATCTCCAGCTCCAGAGGTGGTCCCTGAGGGATTCTTAACTTTTAGAAGATAAATTAAGTGAAGATGGATCAGCTCCTAAAACAGACCAGCTTGGTCTCCAGAGGCAGGATAAAGCCAGCTTGTAAAATTACCAGCCAGCAGTGTTGCATTTTTTCTTTGCAGTTAGAATGTGATCTAAAATGATGTAAGGCAAGCTCTGATCCAAAAGATAATCTCCAACAGGGGGTCAGCCAGAGAAACGGGTAGGTACAACCACCATTTGTTTGAACTTGCAAATTTCAGATTATTAAGATGATTTCTGTACTTAGGAGTATTTATTACTTTGAGAGTTAGATTAATATACAGATGTAAAAATGAACAGTGCCTAAGCTGTCCAAATTCTAAGCATCTACCCACATTTACAAGGCATCTGCCATAAAGAACCTGATAGCATTTTCTCTTCTTTCTCAGGTGGTTATTTCTCCTCAGCCTGACTCCCTGGCCCTGCTCAGCAGGTCTGCATTAACACCCCCCCACCCCCCACCCCCGGGTGGAGATGCCCCACTAAGGGAACAGGCAAGTGCAGGGAACAGCCTGGCCTCAGTCTTTTCTGGGAATAGACACGCGGTTTTATGGAGGCCATCTGGGAAAGCTGGCACAGTGGAGAAACAAAATGGTGCCAAGGATATTTCCACTGCCAAGAATACATCAATAGGTTAAATTAAGAACTAAATTGCACACTGGATCTGCCAGAGCTCAAGGGTGCTATTTCCACACAAGTAGGGCTGTGGGTCATTCAAACTTCACTTCTGCTTATCAATATTTCTCTGATATTTTGCTATTGTAAAAAAACAAATTTATTGGTGCATTTGATTTTAATGAAAAAACTCAAGTTCCATCATTAAGTTACAGTGAACCACCCATTAAGACTGTTTGAATATATTCCAACGTTGATGGGTAAAAAATGATCATGTAGGAGAGCTTAATCACAGTCAATTTATTGATAAGGCTAGCTGAGTCACAGAGGAGACAAACGGCTTAAGTTTACTTAGAAAATGTTTTTTTTATCCTGCTGGTGGATGCTATGGGATTTAGAAAGGACCAAGCCTCTTAAGTCAATGAGACTCCAGTGCTCCCTCTAGTGAACTCCGGGGTAGCAGAGAATTTCACATAACAAGATGGAAATGTTTTCACAGTTCAAACGTTTTAAGACAGTTTGGGAGGTTAAACTGAAGGCCATAAACAGTAACTTTTCTCTACATACAAAAAGGTTAAAACTGTGTTTCCTTTAGACTTACAAGTTTGAACACCTATACTTACAAACAATTTGCTTTTGTAAAGATACTTGCTTCTCCCACTGGAATCTTTCACTTCTTTACTAAATACTAAGGACATTTCAAAAAGGAAGAGATGTCGTTCTCGACCCTTTCGAATTAAGGTTTTTGGGTCCCACACTTGGAAGGATTCCTGCAGGATGAGTTCTCCCTGAGACTCAATGTTTTCATCAAATCCTACAACATGAGAAAAAGGAAGCCAAGTCAATTGAAAAGACAAAAAAATGATACACAAGAAAGCATCAGTACTCTTTCAATGTTTGTAAAATGCCCATTAAATGGGCCTTGGAGAAGAGTTTTCCCTACTATCCCCTGACTTTTCATCGCTGACCTGCCCTTAAGAAGATTCTTTCTCAAACTACATACTACACATATGTTCCCTTGCTCAAAAAACTCAGGGATTCCTCATAGCTTTATCCTTTAAGCTCTGTCCCCTACAGCTGGCATTCATCCACTTGAGACCTGCTTGAACTCCCTAATTCTCTCTGCCCCAACATGGCCTCAGGGTTCCTCCATGTAAGCCCCTTTTCTGTCCAGAAGGGTTCACCACTCTCCTCTGGATCTATGTTCCACCCTGGGTATTGACTTTCTGCTTCCTCAACCCAGGACACCCTTCCCAGTGAGTCTGCTCAAGTCACAGCCTTCAAGGGCTTGATGTGGTCTGCCTTCTTGGGGCTCTTCCCAGCTCATCCTCTGAGAGTTTGGAGACCTCTGCACTGAGTCACTCTCGCTCCGGCCACTTGCTGGTCTTCAGGCTCCTCCTGTCCTGGTGGAGGCAGCCTGCTTTATCACTGCAAAGGCTTAGCAAAGACATATCTAGGTGAAGCTGCTACAGATCCCAACTTCTACCCTACCTCTTTCTCTACTGCATAAGCTCCCTCTAGGGCTCTTCACACCCAGCCCTCCTCATACCCCCATCCTGGGTAAGTGAGTAGGACAGTATGTGGCACTGGTAGTCTCTTGTTTGTCTGGGGGCTCCCTCCTGTCCTTCTCCCTCACTTCCCACTAGATGGAATGGTAATGTTGTCCTAAAACACGCTGGATGGAGCCAACAGGGTGACATCAAGGACAGAGCACAGTCTGAGTCTTTGATGATATCATGAGAGCTGCCAAACTAGCTCCACATTTTTGATCAAAAAACAATCAGTCTTGCCTGGCCTCTGCATTTTAGTCTGTCACTCATTCGCCAGAGCAGGTATGCTCTAACATATTGCTCAGTGTTACCCATGATCATGACACAGGCTAGTGAAAGTATTTGAAGCAGAAGATTTTTTAGAAATAATTCTGTGTATAGAAGCTGTGTAAGAGTAAGTTTTGCAACACCGAATGGCTTTCTTTAAAAGAAACATCCATGTAAACTACAACTGACATAGTAATTTTTAAAACACATTTATCTAATTTTCTCTTTACTGTGTTACATACAGAATTCAGGTGCGTGAGCAGGTATCTGATACCCACTATGCCCAAGGCTCTAACAAGTACTGAAATGGACATAGACATAGATGAAGTTCTTTGGAGGAGTTCCTAGTCTTGGAGGTCAATCTGTCCATCCTTCCACCATCCAATCAACAGAGACCAGATGGCTTAAGCAAGAGGCACCAAGTTCTTTTGGAGTTCAGAGCAGGGAGAAGCTATTTAAAGGCTTTTAAACAGGTAGAGGTAAAAGCATTTTACGTGGTCCTCAAGAAAAGCAATAAGCGCAATTTTTTAAAAAAGAAGATATTCATATCTAAACTCTTAACCACTAACTAAAGAGGGAGGTGTGAAGCCAAGATTTTTAGGGTTTGAGAAATCCTTTTACAAACAGCACTGATGGAAATCCTGAGTGCTGTACCTTCCAGCATGCTGAGGTGCATGGCATCGTTGGCTCGCTTGGGTACACTGAGCATCACCTCAAGGCCATCTTTGATCTCCCCTTTCCCTTCCTCACAGCACGTCAGCAGCTCCTGTAAAAGACCAATACTGTGAACCAGGGGAAGACTGTGAAATGTCTGCCAACACTATCTTTGCAGAAATGAAGGTACCTATGACATCCACAGTTTTCAAGATGAAAATAGACTATGGTCAACTGGGCATATAGTCTCAGAGAAAATGAAAGACTGTGGATGGCATCAGGTAAACTAGATGTGATCATACTTTAAGATGAAATAAGTAGACCTTTCAACTACTATGCCTCAAAAACAATACATAAAAATATGTGATTAGGACAGCAATGATCATCAGCACTGGTTAGAGCTGACAGCCACACTACAGTGCAATTGTCATGTTCACCACACGATCTGGGCATCAGCATGAACTCTGGTGCCAGGAATGCAGAGCCCTATCTAACCTGGAGCAGTCAAAGCCATGCAGCAGGTGGCTGGACTACACTTACCCAGGAAGCTCTAAGAGTACGCCTACATTTCAGAGCTATTTGGAGTGATACCCATTACTAAAGAAAAGACAGAAGTAAGTTCACATGCTGGTGTCTCTAAGGTATTTTCTTATTAATTTTTTACTAATAATATCAGTCAGGAACAATAGTCTTTCGTGTCTTTGTGTTCAACAAAGAGGGACATGACCTTGCAGTCAGTGCTGGCTTCTTCCTGGATGATTCAAGTAACTCAGTGACCTGCTGAGCACCTTGACTCATAACTAGATGGTGTTGATCTATGATTCTAAGCAGCGTGGCAAAATGCAATTGTGTTGAGACTGACTTCACTTGCAGGAAACCTTCCTCACTGGGAGGTTCAACCCAACTTATCATTGTTCCCTGAAGCACCTCTGGGCAGAGTATGGTAGGTTTTATAAATTGAGGCTCAGCTTAGTGGAACCACATTAGAAACGATATATTTGAATCTTCAGACACCAAGATACAAAACGCCTTTGTAGAATTGAAAGCAAAGGGCAGATCTGAATATGACAGATTAGCCTCCTTATTTTATATTCACAGCAGCTACTCATGTTTGCAGGGATGAACATAGAATCAATGATACAGGAGAGCTTGTTCCTAACAGTACCACTTTCACAAAACAACATAGCCATTTCATACCGCTTCTCGATTTTCCTAACAGAAATAAAGATTTTTTAGTTAACTTTGCCTTTGAATGTCTTTTGCATTCAGAGAAATCATATAAATTTTAAAAAAAAGGAAAATCACATCACATCCTCCTGATGCAGTGCCTGAGACAACACCTACAGCATAGCAGGACTCAGGAAACACTGCTGTGGGACGAAGGGAGGAAGTCTACATCCTGATGCTGAGTAAACATCACCAGTCAAGGCAATGAAAATGTGTACTAATGACAAATAATGCCTTTAGGACAAGTGTTAGCACAAATTCTTAGATTTTACAAGCGTGATTTTAATGATAATTGCAACAAAGAAAAAGTAGACGCCAGTTTGACTTAAATACCTATGACTTGTGCGTGTGACATGCTCCATAAGGTGCTTGGGGTAATGGACCAACTGCATGGATGCAGGGTCTTTGTAGATTCATCGGAAAACCTGAGCATCTGCCGGATGTGGACTCAAAGCCCAGCCAAGAAAATGCATCAGTGATCATTCTGGGCACACTCCTCACCCTCTGAGGCTGGCTGCCACACCTGTCCATAGACTAGCAGTGATATGACAGTAACATATGGAAAGCAGACAACAGCTGGCCCACAGTCAGTAAGCCATTACTGGGAACCAGGTATTAAAGTCACAAGCACTGACAACATCTAGTTCCTATCTCATGATGGACTTGGGTCCATCAGGGCAGTTCAGGTGAAAAACAAGGGATATCAGCTGATATAACTGCTACAATGACAAATAAGGCAAAGCAAGAAATGGCAATGAATCAAAAAAAGATAAAAATGAAAACTTCCAAGTGTTATTAAAATTCAGGGTAATACACATAACTATAAGGAAAAAGTCAAAATAGTAATGCATAATTCATAAACTTTTGCAGGCTGAAGACATTTCATACATACTTTTAAAAGGAGCTGATACTTTGTTATTCGCTGAACTGGTTTGATAAGGTAGGAAGAGATGGAATTGGCTAATCCATGCCGCTGCTGGATCTCCTGTATTTAAAAGACAAACTTTTATCATATAGCTGCACTACTTTATTTTAAAGACTTATTTAGTTATTTAAAAGGCAGAAATTTACAAAGAGACAGGCACAGAGATCTTTCATCCACTGGTTCACTCCCCAAATGGCAGCAATGGCTGGGGCTGTGCCAAGCTGAGACGAGGAGTCAGGAACTCCATCCAGGTCTCCCACATGGGTGGTAGGAGCCCAGGGATTTGGGTTATCTTCAGCTGCTTTCCCAGGTGCGTTAGCAGAAAGCTAGATCAGAAGTAGAGCAGCTGGGACTTGAATCAGTACCCATCTGGGGTGTGGGCATTGTAGACAGTGACTTTGCTATGCTGCAATGCCAGCCCCAGTAGCACTATTTTTAAAAAATGGCTCTAAGACTGCATTTCTATTCCAAATAACTGAAAAGTGTTTAATCCAACTGAAATAATGAAGATCTGTTTTCTCAAAAGGCTGTTAATCCATTAGCTAAAACTCCTTCGCTTCTAAAACTTTACCCTGGGCTGTGAAAAAGCAGGGTGAAGGGGAGGACCCACAGTACTGGTCACATTTAATGATATGATCACCACTTGGAATTCTGCAATGATGTCATCAACAGGCAACAGCTGCTGGCTGTCAGCATTCCCCACACTGAAGGTGGGTGCCCTGTCCACCTTGTCCATGGAGTGGCGCTACTCACCACTCCATGTTAAGCACCTGCAACAGAGCTCAGAGAGTGAAATGAGCAACTGGTAGATGTTCAACGCTGCCTATAACTGATTGTTAACAGACATCTCAGACAGGAAGTTGTAACTGGAAGCCTATAAAAAATTAAATCACTGACAATAAATATTGAGGGCACACAACTTCTAAAATCTCTGAAAAGTGTGATTTCCTTTATTCTTTTTTTTTTTTTTTTTTGATAGGCAGAGTGGAGAGTGAGAGAGACAGAGAGAAAGGTCTTCCTTTTGCTGTTGGTTCATGCTCCAAAGGCCGCCGTGGCCAGCGCACTGCGCTGATCCAATGGCAGGAGCCAGGTACTTATCCTGGTCTCCCATGGGGTGCAGGGCCCAAGTACTTGGGCCATCCTGCACTGCACTCCCTGGCCACAGCAGAGAGCTGGCCTGGAAGAGGGGCGACCGGGAAAGAATCCAGCGCCCCAACCGGGACTAGAACCTGGTGTGCCGGCGCTGCGAGGCAGAGGATTAGCCTAGTGAGCCGTGGCGCCGGCCTCCTTTATTCTTAAAGATAGGTTTTAGGATTTTAAAAATGGCTTTGAATCTGAACATTAAATGTGACATACATTTCTCGCTGCTTAATCCTTAAGAAGTCTAACACTGTGTGGTGTGGGTTTCAGTTGGTGTCCAAGATCCAGGGCCATGGGGAATATTAAAAGGGAAAGGCAGTATTGGGCAGGGAGTGGGCTCCGCATTCACACAGGCAATGGTGCATCTTTGCCGCTCATGAGAATAACAACCACAAAGAGTCATCTCCCTGGAGGGCTTCCTCTTAAAGATGGAAACTGAAGTCTGTTCTAATTTTCCAGACTCTCAGAGAACGGGTTATCACACTTGTCAACTCCTAATCTAAAGACAGGAGCAAGTCCAACATCCTCAAAGCTTCATGCAGCACAGCATACACACCATTCAAAAGTGCCTCATGAGGCCGGCACTGCGGCATAGCGGGTAAAGCCACCACGTGCAGTGCCGGCATCCCAATTGGGTGCCTGTTTGAGTCCTAGCCGCTCCACTTTTGATCCAGCTCTCTGCTATGTCTGGGAAAGCAGTAGAATATGGCCTAAGTCCTTGGGCCCCTGCACCATGTGGGAGACCCAGGAGAAGCTCCTGGCTCCTAGCTTCTGATTGGCACAGCTTTGGCCATTGCAGCCATCTGGGGAGTGAACCAGTGGATGGAAGACCTCTCTCTCTCTGTAACTCTGCCTTTCAAAAAATAACCTCCCTGCAACATTTCTCAAAAAGTAACCGACCTGAAGCATCATTTCCTCCAATGAGAACGTAAATTATTGAATCTTCTTATGGGTACCAGGTGTTAACAGAGCCATTTGTAAAATTTTACTAGCTCACCTTTGGAAAGTCATACCATCACAGAATTAAAATAGGAAAAGTACATGAAGTACAGAAGAAAGTAGGCTCAGTTCAGTAGTGTACACTTATATGCATATGGTACATGGAAAAATCTTAATGATTACATATAAATAGTAAGTAATGACATACAGAAAGGTACTTCAAAATTTCATGGAAAATAGAATTTTAAAAATTTAAGTTTATCTTGGGGCAAAAAAATTTTAAATCTATTCATATGAGAGGGTCTTTAAAAAATTCATGGAAGAATAGGAAAAAAACTACATGGATTTCCAAAAAAAAATTTTGTATCAAAATAATCATTTTTAATTCTATTTTCCAGAAACTAATCAAAGTACTCTTGTATACACACATACAAACATTTCTGTACTTGAGTAGGATCTTATAAAAACAGAAGAAAATATAACATAAACATGATAAACACAAAAATAAAATGCCACACTGACAACTGGGTGAAAGCTGTGAGTAACGTCGTATCTTATATATACTAAACAGAACTGGAAAATGTCACAGCGTCTTTAGTAATCAATTACTTACGTCAAAGTAGGACCCCGCATGCTCCAGTATCAGCTGAGTAGAATCAGGCTTATTTTTGCAATAGGTGACATACATCTGAAACTTGTCTGCCTATAAACAAAACAAAAAATGAAAAACAAAACTCCATTAATTAGAATATCTCTTTCAAACCACCACAAATCACAGCATGACAAACTTTCATACAGGAAAGATGCTGTGTGGATAAAGAAAATTTCAGACTTAAACCAAAGAAACTCTATCTTAAGAAGAAAATTTGGGGTGGCCCTGCACTATGGCGCAGTGGGTTAAAGCCCTGGTCTGCAAGTGTCAGCATCGCATATGGGCGCTGGTTCTAGTCCCATGTGCTCCTCTTCCGATCTAGCTCTCTGCTATGGCCTGGGAAAGCAGCAGATGGCGGCTCAAGTTCTTGGGGCCCTGCACCCACCCTTGTGGGAGACCCGGAAGTTCCTTGTTCCTGACTTCGGATCAGCTCAGCTCCGGCCTTGTGGCCATTTGGGGAGTGAACCAGTAGATGGAAGACCAATCTCTCTCTCTGCCTCTCCTTCTCTCTCTGTGTAACTCCGACTTTCAAATAAATAAATAAATCTTAAAAAAAAATAAATCTTTAAAAATAAAAAAAAAGGAAAGTTTTTGAAATGAGAAATATCCTGCATATACCACACATTCCCAGAAGTCTCTTCCTCAGGCAATTGGGCTGGGCAACTGTCCCTCTGCTCCCACAGGGGCAAACCTCAGCTGTAGGCTTTTGGCAGCACAATCTTTGCTCTACTCATCTGCCTCCATTTTGGACTGGGTGACCCTCTGGCAAGACTAAGCACTTACCTATTGATCAGTCCCCCAGGTCACACAGAAGCCTGGCACACTCAGTGTTCTATTTCAGCCATCACTATGGCCAATAAAAACCCATCCATGGGGCTGGCATTGTGGTGTAGTGGGTTGAACTGCCATCCAGCACCCCATATGGGTGCCAGTTTGAGTCCTGGCTGCCCTACTTCTGATCAAGCTCCCTGTTAATGTGCCTGGAAAGGCAGTGGAGGATGGCCTAAGTCCTTGGGCCCCTGTACCCACATGGGAGACCCAGAGGAAGTGCCTGGTTCCTGGCTTTTGTCTGGTCCAGCTCTTGCCATTATGGCCATTTTGGGAGTGAACCAGAAGATGGAAGATACCTCTTTCTCTCTCTCCCTCTAATTTTTTCAAATAAATAAATAAATCTTCCAAAAAAAAAAAAATCTCAACCTAACAATGAGTTGGAGAAAGCCATTCTTTGAGGTTAAGTCTGTTATCTGACTGAAAAGAAATGAATATCACCCCTGTTGTCAGTGCATCCACATAACACAGAACAAGCATGTGAGGCATCATTACCCAAGTGACAAAGCAGTGTCCAACATCCTCTGGCAACTGTTCGTATTTTTCCAGCTCCTTCAGGAAAATGCTGCAGAAAACAAAAACATTGTCATACAGGGAGGATGTTTTAAAGCATTTACTAGGGGATATGTCAGAAACTGAAAAAAGGTGTGTACCCTGTAGATTTTAAGAATTAAAATAAGTAGCTCTTATCTAGGGCTAAGTTATTGAGATTTTGAAGCTTCTAACCAGTTTATGCCTTCAAACACTAGAGCAGCTTCGCTCTAGGAAAAGGCTAGAGTTTAGAAGCCAAGGATCAAATTCAGGAACACTAATGTTCAGTAGGAGGAAAATCCACTTAGCATCTTTATGCCTTTTGCTGGGCTGGGGCCAGAGAACTGAGGAGACCCCACCAGCTCTGGCTTCTGTGTCTTCATACCATCAGCTACTGGGCTGCCCAAGCTCAACCTACAGGAGCTCCTGACACTGCTGTTTTTAAGATCTTAAAGTAAAATTATGTGCCTCCTTTTGCACTTTTGGAAAGTGCATTTTATCTTGGTCAGACTACACATCTGATCCTTCCTCAGTTTCTGTTTCCCTCTTACTCTGAAAGAAGAAATAACACTGTTCTGTGGTCCCATCGGGGACTCTTCTTTCTTTTATCCCTAAGAAGTAACTGACATGGCAGCTAATGACTTAGCTGGAGAGAAGGTAGAATTCCTACAAAAACACTTTCCTAGCTTTATTTCTGCAGAAAAAAAGTCCAAATACAAAGCTGAGTCTGTGCAAAGTCTCTAGAATGTCAGTTTTTCAAAGACTGGTAAGCTCCCTTCAGATTTCAACATAATCACTGAAAGAAATTTGCATCAGACTTGAATTTCTCACCATGAAATTTGGGCACAGTACCTGGGTTTTAAGAGTAACCACTCCCCAAAGGGAAAGCCACTCACTTATGATGGAACTCATAGATCTCCTGCATGTTTCCGAAGATAATGAGCTCCTTGTTGACAATGCCAGGTGGGATCTCCTCCACGCCGCTGGTCATCTCCCACAGGTAGGTCTGGCCAGAAGGGAACAGGGGGATCAGACAAAAAACAACACCGCATGTTCCAGAAACAGCTACCTCTGACATGTGTAAACACACACTCAGAGTTAACGTGTAAATGAAAATATGAAGGATGGAACCTTGTATAGAACATTAAAAGATTCTTTTTGAAAAAGCCCTTCAGTTGCTACCAAACCTTTAAGGAGTTTCTACACATTTTAGCTCTCAAGTTATTCCTAGCCTCATATTTTGGAATGACACTACTCCACAAGGTCCAATAAATATTCATGAACCACTATGCATATGTTGCCAATCATAATTAGTAGGCGCATTTCTGGGCAGCTGCTGAAAAACTCCCTCCACAGAGAGCACAGGCCAGGGCGTCATGTGATAAACGGGCTGAGAGGATTACTGCTGCATCATCCCTGTCATGAGCGAAAAGAAGCCTAGAACGTCACAGAAATGTAGAAACACTAAACTGGCTGCTTAAGCACACTTTAAATTTCAAAATAACAAAAACATTGTGATTATGCTAATAATAACCAGTCAGTAAAAATAAAATAGCAAGGTTATACTCTATATAAATAAAAAAGCAAAAAACAAAACAAAAACAAAAAAACTTACTTACATCCATACACTCCCGCAGGTCTCTTACATAAGCCTTCTCAGTTTGAATTAGCTCAGCCATTATGAACCTGAAACACAGTAACGTATAATCAGGAGGCGTGGTTATTATATTATCTGCTTTTATGGATTTATAAAATAAGGAGCAGGGTCTAAATGCATTGGTACTAAAGTAATGGTTTTGAAGAATTAAATCAAGAACAGAAAGAACTGTTATCCAGCCACTAACTCAAAAAGAAAAAAAGGACTTTGGAAAACTTTTCACAGAGGTACCTACATATCGGAGGTTCCCATGCCAGCAGGCACCTGGGCCAGGAGACTCGGGTGGTAGGGGTCTGTCCTGTGCAGTGTAGGATGCTCAGCAGCTTCCCTGGTCTCCACCCATCAGATGCCAGCAGCTCTCTCCCTGCTCCCCACTGTCTGACAACCCAAATGTGTCCTCACACTGCCAAATGTCCCTGGGGACAAAACCATTCGCAGCTGAGAACTACTGGGTTAGAGCAGCCTTTTGTCTTTATTTAGACATAGTAAAGATTACTAATTGGCAACTTCTAAACTCCCAGATTTGTGTTATTAAATGTCCTCTCTTTAGTCTTACCATCTATCAATGACAAGCAATTTGTCAAACCCATATGGAATGGAGGCACAAAAATAAAACCACAAAACCCTTCTCTAAACCAGGTGGCAAGACGACTACGGTCACAACACAGTCCATGCTGCAGAAAGTAAGCCAGAGCAACAGAGCGTGCCAGTGCCTCTAATTTCAAAGCAGGCAGAGAAGTCCATTTGTCCAAATGGCGTTTCCTTCCCTTCATTCTTAAAAGCTGGCTTACTCTTTCCTGCGGGCAGATTTTCGTTTTTCTTCATTCAGCTCATGAGCGGCATCTCGAAGTTTCACCTCTGACCCAGGGATGCTGGCTGGAATGATATCGAGCTGAAGGCTTTTACTCTGTGGAACAGGAGAGCAATGAACACCGTTAATTAAGTAGCAAAGAGGACAGGAGGAAGAAGACTGTGATTATTCAGTTTGCACAAAGCAATTCACCGATTTGTTGGAATCTGAAGAAATCCCCAGGGCTTTTTCCAAAGAGGTCCTGTACTTCTCCATGCGCAGAGAGAAATCTCTGTACCTCTTATCCACAGCAGTGACACATTTTTTTATCTCTGCTGCATGGGCATGCCCCTTTTCACAAAAGCCATCAGCCAGCTGTATCAATAGCTTCACTCTCTCTTTGGTTTGCTGCAAAAAACAACAGGAAAGTATTGTGAAGCAAATGAACTTGACTGCTACAAATCCAAACACAGAGGTGACCTGCCTTCAACTCTGAGGGCTGGACAGGAGGAGATTTTGGTAGTGGAAACTTAAAGGGAAGGCCCATGTCCCTTCGGCGCATGACTCAGATCCTAGACTGCTTTTTCTTCAGCTCTTTCAAAATGAATGGCAGTTTTATGACCTCAGAGAAGAAAACTAGACCACCTTTCAACAATGTCTACATCAGGTGCTCAGCAAGAGGAGCAAATATCCATTCAGAATGTGCTTGTTACCTTTCAGCTGCTCTCTTCTTCTGAAGAATGCAGGGTATTCAGCTGTGCCAGGGAGGTCCTGGCTGCAGGCAAGTGTATTCTATGTGCCCAGGGCAAGCAGCCACCTGATTTCTCAGTCTGCCTAAAGTCTGAGTGGCAAAGACTGTCCCCATGGCTGGGACTCTACAGCATCCCTGAGGAAGTGTCTGTATCACACACCCCTTCGTTTTTTAAATTCTCAATGGAGGGGTCAGCGCATCAGCATAGTAGGCTAAACCTGTGGTGCCTGCAACCCATACGGGCTCCAATCCACATTCCAGCTGCTTGTATTCTGATCCAGCTCTTTGCTTTGCCCTGGTAAAGCAGTGCTTGGGCCCCTGCAAGCACGTGGGAGACCTGGAAGAAGCTCCTGACTTCGGATCAGCTCAGCTCCAGCCTTGCGGCCATTTGGGGAGTGAACCAGCAGCTGAAAGACCTTTCTCTCTGTCTCTCCCTCTCTCTGTCTGTAACTCTTTCTCTCAAAAAAAAAAAAAAAAAAATCTTTAAAAAAATTTTTAAAATAATGATTCTCAGTAAAGGAGAGAAGTGTACCAGCCAAAGGTACTTTATATTTCATGCCTATGTGAGAACTCTGCCTCAAAAAGATTATTCTCTATGTACATGGAAAAGATCTTTTAGTAGGATAACCATGACTTTTTTTACAAAGTTAAGGAGGACTATACAGCAATGGTTATATGGATATATTTGGCATCGATTTTTTTCACAACAGACCTTCTCCTCACACCCATTTCACTAATTACTGTGGTACCAGGCTCCCTGCCATTTCCAGTTAAGTAAACTACTCTTCTACTATGAAATTTGCCTTTCTCAGGTTTTACTAGGAATTCTTTATGATGAATACTCAGGAAATTGGCTTAAAAATCCCTAAAAGAGAAAGAGTTCAAAACCCAGAAAAATTATCTGTTTGTAAAATGCAAGTTTTGAGCTAGAGTTTACTGGACAACTTGTGAAGTTGGCTGTGAGGATACTTCTGGTTCATGAGGCTTGCACCCTCGTCCGTCTGCATGGTATCTCCATGGCTGCTTCACATTTGCTCTCAAACACCGGCCCACCCTGGAGCACCTAGAAACTGTCTTCCAGCCCTCTATCAGAGGGCATAGTTGTGTATCTGTTAACCTGTCTGTCTCTCTTGTGAGAATGTCACCTCCATGGCCCAGGGATATCTGCTTGTTTTACTCATTTATCTCTATTGTCTATCACAAGTGCCACTTGCAGAGGGCACTGCAGAGCTGTATGTGTGTGTTTTTAGGGGACTAAGAAAGGCATGTGGTGTTCTAAGTGCTGGGGACATGGAAGATAATATAGAAAAGATAATGCAGCCTGCCCATAAAACAGAAAACACTCATCAGCAGGAGGCTTGAGGAAGGTGTTTGTCTATGAAGGACACACACTAGGAAACATACCAGGTGCCAGCAGGTGGCGCCAGAGGTGGCACCAGCATGCTGACACTGAATGTAGATGAAACACAGAGATTTCCCACAAGCCAAGCCTGGGGGAGTAAGTCTTCCAGAAGCAAACTTCATTCACACATTTAAAGAAAGTCTGCTGTTCAGATGAGGACAAAACACTTCTCCAGAAGGCCTTCCTTGGCTCTGCAGAAGAGTGCAGGTAGCCTTTTCTTCCACCATGCCTTTATTTTTCTTCCTACTTGTCATGTCTATGTAGATACCTTTTATCTACTTACCGTGCTACTGTCTGTCTACCTTAGCAGGTCCTCCATGTGCCCAGCACCAGTTCTGAGGACAGGGTTGGGGCTCCATAAACAACTGATTGTAACTAAACTTAAGTACTTAAAACTCAAGAATTTGCTAAACTACAAACCTGACATTTTAAAGATATACTCATGGGGTTCAAAATTCTAAAGGCAAAAAAGGATACAAAATAATCACTCTTCTCACCCCACCTGCTGTCACCAGCCCCAATATCAGGGTCACCCTACATACTTGCATACACATGTGCAAGCAAGTGCACGCATGTAAAAATGCATGTATTTTTCTCGCTTACATGTATATTAATGTTTCCTACAATAAACTATGCTCTTACCAGAACAAAAGCAGCACCCTTGCTCATGTTTGAAGCCACCTTTGTTATGGAAGATTCATAAGCTAACAACCCCCCACCAGTGGGCTTTATTGTGGCTTCTAATCTCCCACTGCTGACAGCAGTCATGTAAGAGTGATCCTTAGCACCTGTGCTTTGACATGTGTCTGAGCATGAGGCTGGAGCACACGTTTCAAGGTGTGTAATTGCTGGGGCAGACAGAAGTTTTCTGTGTGCATTATGCTACGAGATGCTGCCAGAGACCCCCACAGAGGTCAACCCAATTCACATCTGTCCCACCCTTCAGGGAATAGACTCTTTTCCACTGGTGTGATTTAACTTTTTGATCTTGGCCAACCTACTGGGTGAAAATGAACTCAGTGTAGCCTTGATTTTCACTTTCCTTATTTCAAGTAAAGCTGGCAATCTCACATGCTTAAAAGCCACTCAAGATTCCTTTCCTGCAAGCCATCTATAATATCTTTTGTCGATTTTCTTGGTCTTTTTTTCTCTTACTCATTTGTAAATGTTCTTACTAAGCCCTTTGTGATATGAGTGCAAGCATTTTTCCTTACTTGCTTTTGGTTTGTGGTGGACTGCCCTTTAGAAATTTTCATATTTTTTGTATAGGTAAATTTTCTAATCTTTTTCTTTTTTTTGATTTTGGATTACTGAGACAAACTTCACTACATAAGGATATATACATATATTTAAAAACTCTGTTATCTCTACTAGTACTTCTAGGTTTTCACTGTTGATATATAAATCCAACTTAATTTTTGTTTTCAAAAGGCTACCCAACACTATTAAAGAGAATTCCTGTCTTTTAAAGAGAAATACAATAAGGGTTTTCAAATTTATTCTATTTGTTAATTCTAGAGATTGTTATAAAAGCAAATTTTTACTTAAGATTATATAAAATTATAATTGAACAATGTCATCTATAGGCATAATCAAAGAAATAGAAAAAAATAAAAACAAACTGAATTCTTAAGGCCACAGGCTCATTGTGCAGCCGTAGTGAAAAAAGCAAATCTTAAATCTCCTTCAGAGTACTCCGTCGCGCATTTTCTGAATACCTTCATAATTGAACCCTAGAAAAAACAGAGCTCATGTACTGCATATAATGACTATGATTTACTAGCTAAATAGTCACAATAATGAGAAGCACACAGCCAAAGTTGTGGTGCATCTGCAGGATGGAAGAGCCATGATCCTTACCTGGAGAGGCAGGACAGGGCAGCTCTTGAGCGCTCATCGCCTCCAGAGGCCAGCCATCCACCCAGCTTCCCTGAACGCCCCCACCCCCGCCTCAGGGTTCTAGCATCCACCCAAGGCCAGGTCCTCTTGTGGTGCCCCAGCCTAGGCCCCTCTGCAGCCCCACTGAACTGCACAATCCTGAAGAACAGAGCCCACTGGTTCTGCAGAGGGGCCTAGTACCCTCTAGGGCTGAGGGGAAAGGAAGGAGGCCAAGAACAATGGGAGGAGTCAGAAATGGTTACAGAAAGTAGACTCACAATGTTACAAAGTAGTGTTGTCACTCAATGACTTTGAAATTGCTCTTTGATAGGCTGTCAAAGACAGTTTGACAATCTTGTTGCTTTAGAGGAAAATATCCAGCTGGATCACTTATTTTTCTATTCTTAAATTTGAAATAACCTTTGACTTTTCCTAAAAAGACATTGTATCATGAAAAAGAATGGCACTTCTGAAAATACTGCCAAGGATGTATACTCAAAACCTCTGAACAAAGAACTCCACAGGTTGTGAGCATAACTCTAAGAATTCCCAGACCATTCTGAGTCAAAGAAGGAGAATCAGCCTCTGTGGGAACATGCTTTGACCTGGAAAACAGTCACACCAGGGTGTGGGTTCTCACCTATTACCTTAAAAACTCAGATTTACTCATGTATACTGCATACACCAAAAGATGTACTTACTTCTATTTTGAGCTTCAGGATCAAAGGGCAAACGCACTAGCAGGATGCTGACATGCATGCTGCCAACCACACACAGACAAGCTTAAGACTAGGCCAAGTGTGAGCACCACCCTTCATGTGTTCCACTAAGGACAAGGAAAGAAGCAGTCACAGGATACCTGAGAGTCTAGCTGGCAACACTGGCGAGTGTGTCACAGAAGTAGCAAGAACTCAAAAAATGCCTTGGAAAAGAAAAAAGAGAGAGAAAAGGCAGGGAAGGAACAATGGAAAAGACAAAGAAAAAGAAAGGGAGGAGATGTTCCACTGTTTACAGAAACTCAAGGGACAAGAGGACACAGGTACCTAAAGTGGGTGATGAAGAGGAGAAGCCAGGGACAGGCAAGGAAAGCAGTAGGAAGCATCATCTGAGTTACGTAATGTGCAGCTGCCCACTGGCACTGGCACAGCCCGTGTCTCCATTCTCAGTAGGCACTTCTCAGTGACACTTTTGGGTGTTGCTTCACTGATCTGAAGCATCCTGCTCCAGTTTTAAGTCCACTCCAACTTTGTACTCACCTTTGCTGTTATCTGAAACTCCTCATGTTCCTTCAGCAACTCCTGGGTGTGCTGGATACTGGAACCCGTGGAAGTGTGTGTGGAAAGGTAGAACTCCCCGTTGTCATGGATCCACTCCAAAGCCTGTGGAGGGAGGAGGTAGGAAGTATCCACCTTGAAACCCCTGTGAAGGAAGCTCTGTCTCCAAGGAGCTGCGCTAAATGTCAATTACAAGCAAGGCTGGCCTGATCAAGAAATAATCCCTCAAAGAGAGAAGCATTTCTGAAATGAAAATCACAATTCCAAAAAACAGAAGCATTCTAGAAAGTTCTAAGCATGTCACTTATATAGCAACAATAACAAGTTCTTACCACTGTGCAGCAAAAGGCACAATAAAAGGCCTTAACAAATATTTTTTCCCAAGAATGCTGAGAAGCTGTGGGCACAGGGGCAGTCTGAATGCCTCATATGGTGAGGTACCCAGACATTCACATCACCAACACCTAAGAACCTTACTGGGGCATTTTAATTGAAAAAGGAAAACAAATGTGCATTTCCAGCTCTCAGGCCTTTCTGTCTACTCCTGTGTCCATCTGGGGTGCCTGGGCATGTACCCACTTCACTTGCTTTTGAGGGCTCCTGCAGAGGACCCCTCAAACATTATGCATAAATACACCACTGGCAGTGCAGAGAGGAGGGGCTGGCAAGAGATGCAACTTAACCCTTCTGGTTGTAGGACAGAAATTTTCTCATCTGGAAAGAAGGGGTGCAGACTGCATTGGAATGCTAGTTCTAAATCATTATTCTCTCACATTTTTATGTGGAAGCTGACTTTTTTCTGTTTTTATATATCTGAAGTGAAATCAGACTTCTTTAAACATATGAGCATAAAATAATCAAGTTATAGAAAGAAGCACAAAAAAAGGACAAGTGTTTGTATTTGCCCTTGGTAATCTCTGAGTCACCTATCGTAATTTGCTGTTTTTAGAGAAACACAGACTGTCTCTGTTAGATAGATCCTAACATCTGTGGCATTTTTGCGGGGAAAACAGAAAAGGAAACCTTGACCCCTGTAAATCTTCAGCTTACTGGCTGGGAATTTGTTTCCATGCTGCCTGAGTTTGGCTACCCTGTCCCTGAAACAATGCTAACACTGCTTCCAAATGAAGGCCATTTCCCTAAATCTATTCCAAGTACCCACTTTCTCCACTCTTGAAGCACATTGTTTCCAAGTGTTCACAGTGGAGTCACTGCTATAAAGCCCAGAGGAGTGAGAAGTCCAGACCTTCCGCCTGTGGGCGGGGAAGGAGGACACAGAGGAAAACTCACAAGGGACAGCGGCAGTGACTGTCGGGAGATTTGTCACAAGGGACATCAAGGAAGGCTGGACCTGAGTGGACCTGAATGGGCCCAAGTCGGCCTGCTGCAGGACAGTCAGATGGGTGAGGCCGAGGAGAGGTCAAGGAGAGGCTCTGGTGGGTCACAGACACAGCTAGCCCTTTTATCCTAACACTAAAGTGGCTGCCATGTGGAAAGGAATTGAGGCGGAGAGCAACAGCAGTCAGCAGCCTGGAGTGCAGGTCCGCAGGCCCCACACAGCTGGAGTTCCACTGGGTGAAGAGGGGCTGGGAGCTCAGCACTACTAGATCAGAAGGAATGCAGGTGAGAAGGTGAGGGAAAGGCAGGGATCAAGAAAAGTCGCCTGGTCGTCCTGAGAGGACTGAGATGAGCGGGGCTGGGGACACTGGTAATCCTGCATGCTGGTTTGCTTTGGGGAGGCCACATTGAGAGGTATCAAGGAGAGACCCTAGATTTATAAATCCGGAAACCAGAAATGGAGGTCAGGGCTGGGCAACACCAGAAAGACAGATAAAAATGAGGAAAGAGAGACAGGAACAAGTGTGAACTGTGCCCAGAGAAAGGCAACCGTCAGCGGCATCCATTTTGGAATCTCATTATACTGCACAGACAAGTGAAATCCGCAGCACTGTGGTTCTGGAATGGGACAAAACTCTATAGGGCAGTAGGGCTGCCAGCGTAAATTTACACTATCTGCAATGGGACAAATTTATCTTCCATGTCCAATGATACTATTTTAATTTTCCTTCTTGGTAGCTGAATGATCCCTTATCTTTCAACCCACAGATAATAAAGATACTCAGATGTAATGAGTATGAAACCATCTCTAACTAGAAATCAAAGTAAGCTGCTAATGATTCTGAGGTACGGTTGAGCTTTCTTTAAATAAAGTGAAGGAAATGTAAGTTAACAGTAGACAACGGCACTGCTTGCAACCTTGCTATTGGGAATGTGATGGTACGACCGGGTGAAGTCAGTCAAGGTGAGAAAAGGGTGGAGTCAGGGGCTGGATCCAGGACGCCTGAAGCTCAGTTTATGGAACTCTGAGGAACTGAGGAGTTCTGGGTCCAGGCCGCCAATTACAATGACAACATTTGCAACCCAGGAACAAAATCTGTTCCCTAAGTGGGAAACCTATGCTGAGGAAAATTTAATTTTTCTTGGGCTAAAAAGGTTTTTTGAAATGCCTACTCTGTGCCAAGTTACCAGGTAGATGCAGAAGATAGCCTGGGACTGAGCTGACATCAGGACGGGGGTCACCACCAACCCACTGCACTGAGGGTCCCAGTGACTCTAGGCAGGTAACGCACATCAAGCCCAGCTGGGGCCTGGCCACACACAGGTGTTCAGAGAATCTGTCTGTCTTCTCTCCCATGTTTTCCTCCTCAACCCTGGATTCTAGACAGCTTGTGAATTCTTATGCTACTAAGATGAAAGGGAAGGGATAAAAATCTTAATGTTTAAGACAGGGATAAACTTTTCCTTACAGCAATTTTCCATGACTGATAATATAGGTAGGATAACTTCAAGCCAAAGTGACTTAAGGTGGGAACACTCCCAATGTATTCCCCTTCATGTCTCTTGGCAAAAGGCAGAACTTTTTTTCCCCTTTAATTATACTGAATTATTAGAAATTATGTCTTATTTCTTCTCTAGTTTTATTTTAAGAGGCAAATTATGCATTAGCAGGAAGATAGAATCGGTAGCAATCTAATAAGAGATGTGGGTATCCCAACCGGCATCTTAACCACTAGGCCAAATGCCCATCCCTGTCATGTTTCTTAATTTTAGTTAAATTTGTCAAAGATGGAACAGCAATATAAAAAAACTATACATAAGCACAGAATCAAGATTCCACAGTGACTATGAAACAACTATCATAATTATTTGTAGGTAGCAGAATGGTCCACTTGTGAAAAGTCAAGGTCACTGAGTGACACACCTTTACCAGGCTGTGGGGATTTCCCCTTTGCATCAAACTGATCATTAAAAGGCAAGACTGCTTTGTTCTTTAGAAAGTTGTCAAGGTGGCTGAAATGTCAAAGTCTGCCTGATAGTGGTGGTGGTGTGAAGATCAGGTGTGAGTCTGACCTGCTTGGCACTCCTCTCGAAGACCACGTACTGCTGGCATTGATCCAGACGTCTCTTCCTCATGGTCCAGTAATGCAACACCCTGTTCTCCCGCTGGAAGAGTTCATTCAAGATATCTGAGAGAAAAAGGACAACACATACGTTGATGCTTGCAACCAGGTAAACACCTGTAAAATCCCACCAGTTTTTATTACAATACAATGAAAAAAAAATCAATACAAATTTTAAAAAACGCCATAAAACCTTAGGAGAGGGAAGGACGTGACATAGAGAAAAAGGGAAAAAAGAAGAGCTATACAAGCAAAACATCACAATCACACAAAAACTAAAAATATCACAGCCACATAATAACCACCATAAAATTATTACACAAAATAAAAGCCAGGAAGAACTTCAGCAACAGGTAGGATGTAGACCTAATTTATGTTAACAATCAACTGGACAAATGTGAATAACCCATTAGAATAAAGTACACAAACATGAAGTTCACAATTTAAAAAATATGACCACTAAATATATGGAAACATGCTCAACCTCAATGAGACCATCTTTCACTGTTTTTGACTGTGTTCTTCCCTTTTTTCCTGGCAAGACTGATACCATCTGGTGCTAGAAGTGGTAAGGGAAACAGGCACTCATGAGCCTAGCATTCTGGGGGAGAACAATGGAGTATAACTCTTGCAGGGGGCAATTTGGTAACAGGTGATTGTGGGGAGCAGCCCGGACTAGACTGAGTTACTGGAATTAAGACTTATTCTATGCATCTGCTCTCCCACAATATGGCGCTGGGAGAGAAGTAAACAGCTTCTGCACAGCTGCCTCCAGTTCAACCAATAAACTGTAGGACTTGCTCCTGATTGGAGGAGAGCAGCGTACTCGGCGTGTGGGCAGCCGAGTTGGGATTGGCGGAGGAGGACTATAAAGGAGGAGAGAGACGGCATGCACCGGGAACATCTGAGGGAACATCTAAGGGGAACACCTGTGCAGCCCCCGAGAGAGCCGGCCGGCGGTGCACCGCTCCCCTGCGGAAGTGGGGAATGTGGCCAGGGGGAACTGCCCTTCCACGGAGGTGGAAGGGATAGTAGCCAACCCGGGAGGAACCAGCGGCGAACCCGGGGAGGGCCGAGCAGACAGAAAGAACAGCGCAGGGTCCTGTGTCGTTCCTCCACGAAGAGGGGGAGCGACATAATGGTGCCGTGACTCGGATATGAAGCCTAGGCAGGGCTTAGTGTCGTTCCTCCACGAAGAGGGGGAGCGACATAGTGGTGCCGTGACTCGGATAGGAAACTTAGGAGGGAAGAAACGGGAAGAAGTGGAAAATACCAGAGAAAGAGACTAGCAAACAGCCTAGGGAAAAGCCGGACGATAAAGGTGCCGGAAGGAGCTATTGAAAGCCTAGGCATAGACTCAGATACGGACTACGGGGGGAAGCTGGGAGAAATCTCTAAGGTCGAAAGTGAAAGCTAGAACAAACAGACTCGGATGCGGACTGTGGGGAGAGGCCAGGAGAAATGAGGGAGGAGTATTGTTGGAGGAAAGCTTGGGGAAACATACCGGGTAGAGAAAAATGTTAGGGAAATTGAAGCCGCGGGGGGCAGGCCGAGGCGGAAACGAAAGCCACTTTGGGATTCTCAAGTTAGCCCGGGAATAGGGGGCGAAAAGTTTAAACCAGAAGCTGAAACGTAAGCCTGGTTGGGATCCGTCTGATTAGCCCGGGGAGCAAAGGACGGGAAGCCAAACCGTGGGGCGGAGACGTAAGCTGGGTTGAATTCGCCAGGCTAGCCCGGGGAACTTGGATTGAATGCTAGTGGTGGAGACGCAAGCTACGCTGTGTGACTCGCGGAAGCCGCCGCGTGCAGAGAGAGCACGGGGCGTGAATAGATAGGGAACGTGGGGCTGGCGCGAGGCCGTGGTGCAGACGCGAAGGGCGTGGAGACCGCGGAGCACGCGAAGCCAAGCCGCGCAGATGAGAGGCGCGGGCTGAAGCGGCTCAGAGCCGGCGAGGCGCCGAGAAGTAGCCTCGGGGCGGAGCCTGCCGGCAGGGCGAGGCACCAGGAAGCCGCAGGGATAAGAGAAACAGAAGTTTAGAAGTAAAATGAGAGCGGGAAGTTGCGGGGATAAGAGAAACAGAAGTTCAGAAGTAAAATGAGAGAAATAGGAATGCTGGAAGATAGAAGTAAAATGGGAGAAATAGGAATGCCCGGAGATAGAGAAATAGAGAAATAGAAAGGCCTCCCTACAATACTGCAATTAGAAGGCTTGGATTCGGTCTGCCGGATTAGTGAGGCGATGAGCACCTGCGGCGGCTAGCAGCTTATGCGCCGCAGGTCACCGAAGACAGGCACGAATTAACATCAATAAGGCCTCCCCACAACACTGTAATGAGAAAGCTTGGATTCGGTCTGCCTGATTAAGTGAGGCGATGAGCACCTGCGGGCGGCTAGCAGCTTATGCGCCGCAGGTCACCGAAGACAGGCACGAATTAACATCAGTAAGGCCTCCCCACAATACAGCAATTAGGAGGCTTGGATTCGGTCTGCCTGATTAAGGCGGTAAGCACCAGCAAGCAGCTCGACCAGAGTATGAGCTGCAGGTCACCGAAGATAGGCACGAACCAACACTAATAAGTCTCCCCCACAATACGGCAATGAGAAGGCTTGGATTCGGTTTGCCTGATTGTTAGGGCTTGTAAGCCCCTGCGGGCAGAGCAGAGCATGCGCTGCAGGGCACCGAATACAGGCACGCATCAGCGCCTAAAAACCTCCTCACAACATGGCGAAGAGAGGACCCGGATTCGGTTTGCCTGATTGATAGGACTTGTAAGAACCTGTGGCAACTCTAGCAAGCGGAGCAGAGTGTGTGCCACGGGGCACCAAAGGCAGGCGCGTATCAACGCCAAAAATAAAAAGAAAGGGGGATCTGTGGGGAGCAACCGGACTAGACTGAGTTACTGGAATTAAGACTTATTCTATGCATCTGCTCTCCCACAATATGGCGCTGGGAGAGAAGTAAACAGCTTCTGCACAGCTGCCTCCAGTTCAACCAATAAACTGTAGGACTTGCTCCTGATTGGAGGAGAGCAGCGTACTCGGCGTGTGGGCAGCCGAGTTGGGATTGGCGGAGGAGGACTATAAAGGAGGAGAGAGACGGCATGCACCGGGAACATCTGAGGGAACATCTAAGGGGAACACCTGTGCAGCCCCCGAGAGAGCCGGCCGGCGGTGTGCCGCTCCCCTGCGGAAGTGGGGAATGTGGCCAGGGGGAACTGCCCTTCCACGGAGGTGGAAGGGATAGTAGCCAACCCGGGAGGAACCAGCGGCGAACCCGGGGAGGGCCGAGCAGACAGAAAGAACAGCGCAGGGTCCTGTGTCGTTCCTCCACGAAGAGGGGGAGCGACAGTGATGACACTGAAAGTGTGCATACCTTTGAACCAGGAATTTATCTGTAAGACAAACAGTACTTATACAAGTACTCAAAGCTATCTGTACTAAGATGCACAGTGCTGTGTTAAAGGGTGAAAAACAGGTACCAACATGTGAACCCATTAGTGGGGGAAGATTCCATGACAACTACGCTATGACAGATACCCAAAAGAGAGCAGATCTTAAATTCTGATCTCGAAAGACAATTAGGATGTGGTATTAAAGTCAAAGGAACGGCCGGCGCCGCGGCTCACTAGGCTAATCCTCCACCTTGCGGCGCCGGCACACCGGGTTCTAGTCCTGGTCAGGGCGCCGGATTCTGTCCCGGTTGCCCCTCTTCCAGGCCAGCTCTCTGCTGTGGCCAGGGAGTGCAGTGGAGGATGGCCCAAGTGCTTGGGCCCTGCACCCCATGGGAGACCAGGAGAAACACCTGGCTCCTGCCATCGGATCAGCGCAGTGCACCGGCCGCAGTGCGCCAGCCGCGGCGGCCATTGGAGGGTGAACCAATGGCAAAGGAAGACCTTTCTCTCTGTCTCTCTCTCTCACTGTCCACTCTGCCTGTCCAAAAAAAAAAGTCAAAGGAACAAGATGCAGGGCAACAGAGTCCCATTTTGTAAAAAAAAAAAAAAAAGGAGAGGTAAGTGGAAAATTATTTCTGTACATATACACATTTATATGCATAGACAGGATACACAAATAAAGTCCCAAAAATAGATGCCAGAGGCAAAGAAATCAGGCAATTTACATGCGCTTTTTGAATTTTTTTTTTGCAGTAGGTATGCTTTACTTCAGAAGTTTATAAAACAAAATATCTTTAGAAAAAAATTCCCAAGACCAAAATTGCAAATGAAATAGGTGGGGTCAAGGATATAACTTCATTATATTGAAAAACTTAAATACAGTAAGTTTCCCATAAGCATTTCTTGAATTCTTAGTAGGCTGTGTGCTCTGTGAGGAACAAGAACTAACAGCTGCATTTCCACACATGCTCTGCAGTCATGCTATGTTTTCTTTCCATCCCTGAAAATGTGAACTATTTTAATGAAGTAAATTAAGATTTGAAATTTGAGGTCAAATAATTGAGCTACCAGTTAAACAAATAACTTGCAAGAAAATGAATGTAAACCAAAGGGTGTCTTCTAATCTCTGCTTGCCACAGTATCTGCCTGAGCCTGTGTTAATTTTTGGCCAGTGGGCAGCCAAGCACAGTCTAAGTCCCCAGATCCTGGGCCTCCAATCCTCATCTGGGGCTTCCTTACACTCCTGAGGACTTTGTGACCACGTGGTCTCACTCCTCCTTGGCTATGACCTCTGCAGTTTGACAGTCTTTTCTGTCACTTTCACCCTTACAAGGATTCACCGCACTGCCTCGTGCACACACCTCTCGCCCACAAGCAGCTGGTAAGGGAAGCAGGACATTTCTAATTATCCACAGAATCAGATTAGAATTACAATACCCTGCAGCAAACGCATGAAGAAGGGCCAGTAAGTGAACAAACACACGTGACACCAGCATTAGAAAGGACCACTACACCTCTGATAAGACAAAGAGCAATATGACCAATAAACAAATGCAATGCTGAGCGGTGGGAGAAAGGAAATTATTTCATGTGAAATGGGCCAGGTGAACTGGGTCTGTGCAACTTGCTGTCAACAAAGATTGTTCACATTTGTGCTGAGAAACTGCTCACTTATTGATTGCTCATTTTCCATAAGGAAAAGCCTAACAATTAATAAATAAAAGGGTACATCAGGAAGTTTAATAGTAAAATGGAATTAAAATAGAACTTGGGAGGATTATACTCATAGTACATTAAGAGAACATGATTTTGGGACAGCTACAGATGAATCAGATGTATGGAGAATAGGATGTAATGGAGTTTTTGTCGATCATTTTTTAAAAATGTGACAATCTTTTGTTAATTGATTATTATTTTTTCCCTATAAATCTCAACTTTGGCTGTGTGACCACGTTCAAGGTGTTTACCTTCCCATCTATGTCAGTCTCACTCTCCACAGTTCAGTATATTACACCTTTTTCTATGCACTTACAGATAATGTATGTATAAACATGGTTTCACATAGATTTTATACTAGAGTGATATTACACTATATAATATTACTTTGTCATTTGCTTTTATTAAGTATATCTTAGGTATATAATTAAGACTTCATAGCAATTACATTGGTACCAAATTTATTTGAATTTTTGAAAGTATTTTGCATGTAGGTAACTCTGGTTTTAATGTATTATTCATAATATTTTTGAACAAAATAGCCAAAGGCAATAAAATTATCTTAATTGTTGATTTTCTTCTTGTTAATATTCTTCAAGCTATCCAATGAATTTTCCATCCATTCACTATATTACCAGTTTATTCATTTATTATTTTTATCACTAAACTGAGATAATTAGTGAGGATCTCACTGATATGAAATGGACATTGAGCATGAGTTCAGAACATCAAGAGTTCAGAACCTGGTAAGCTCCCACCACTGGGCGCCAGGCACCCCCGGCCGACCCTGCTGGTTCCCAGCTGTACTCACTTTTCACTTGCTGCTCAGGAGCTTTGATATGCGTCACCATTCCTGGCATGTTCACGCTGTTCCTGTGCAGGTACTTCAGGAAGACATCTGCATTCCTCCTAGCAAGTGTGCAAGCCTAAGGAACAATGGAGAGCGCTGTGTTTGTTAATTGGACTTAATAAAATCAACACTGTGTGGCCTTGACGTACCTCTTCCCCTAAAACACACATCTGACTGGCTTGTGATAGTGAAAATCCATGGGTTAAACCCTGTTTCATTTAAAAGAAATCTGTCTCTCTGAGCCCTTGCTCTGATGATGCCAGCTGCTATGAATGAGCTGCTCAACACACAGGCTTACAAGGTAGGACCACGGGCAGCACTGTTGTATAGCCAGAGAGGAGGCAGAGCACTTCCCCAGTAGAACTTTGAGAAATCTGCATCCCTGGCCAGCCTCTCAACTAGTCTTATGAGAAATCTGAGCCACAAGATCCAGCTAAGCTGGACTTACATTTATGTGAAGGCCAAACAGAAAATACTTTCAGCTTTAGGGGTCATCATACTGTCTCTCAATAACAAGTATTCAACCCAACCATTATAGATGAAACCAACTCTGTTGGATCTGTGAATCAGTGGTATGGCTAGATTTCACCCTCGGGTAGTGGTTTGCCAACCTCTGGCTTTAAGCCATCAGAGTTTTGGGGTGGTGTATTTTTGTAGTACTAGATAATTGATATTACACATTTCTGTAGTAGGCTAAACAAATAATTTAATCAACGTGGTTTAGAAAAAAGTTTATGCAACAGAAAAGGCTACAAATATAAAACTAAAAGTGTCATATTTAACAATCTTCCACTTTTCCTGCCCAGATCTTAGATTAATATTTAGTTTAAGGAATTCTGTATTATGGTATTTAGAGATCACAACTGGCACTAGGGGTGCTCCGTACCACTGGGTTGGCCACTGTTTCTAGGCTTTTCCAGTAGATGGAGCTAGAATTATTTTTTAAAGTAAAATAAATCATGAGTCCCTACTGATCATTATGAAATTTCAAGCTGTCACAGCATGAATGACAGTGAAGACTGCTATGGCACACCTAAAGGACGTTCAAGCCAACCTAACTTGAAGGGGCTCCCATGGGCAAGACAAGTTGAATATTAAAAGATATATGACAACTGCTTGAAACACAAGAAATACATTAAAATCCATGATGATACGAAAAAATACATAGAAGTTGATAGGACAATTCATTATTATGAATATGGCAAGCAAACAGAAAGAAACAAGCAGCTAAGCCTTTTCTGGACAAACTCCATTGTAGAGTAACCAAACAGCTAATCAAGGCCAAAGGAATGACAGAAGTACAACTCCCCATGAAACAATATCACCACCAGCTACTACACCCTTCAGAGGAAAGGCTGATATAATGGATGAGTTGCACTCACCACATCTGAACCACCAAAATATCTTATATTGCAGAGACCAAAAAAAAGCACATTAATTATGTCTCTTGATATAATCCAAATGGAAGCACACAGCAAGCACTCACGAAGTATTCTTAGTTCACCAACAAGCTTTCTCCCTGGCTTCCTCCCTATCTCACTTTCTCCCTCTCTCTCAAACCTGAATCTGATAAAGGGTCTCAATCTGGCAGAAATGTAAAGGGTTGTAGATGGTGCTAAATCACTCACCAAATGCAATTAGGAAAATCCAGAATAGGGAAAATCAAATAGTATGAATAATCTATTTCTTTAGTTAATAAATACTGTCAGATTAAAACGGATTTTAGGAGCCAGCAGTGTAGTGCAGTGGGTCAAGCCACTGACTGTAACACCAACACCCCATATGGGTACTGGTTTGAGTCTCAGCTGCTCTACTTCTGATCCAGCTCTTTGGCTAATATGTCTGAGTAGGCAGCAGAAAATGGCCCAAGTGCTTGGGCCTCTGCCACCTACCAGAGATACCTGGATGGAGTCCCAGGCTCCTAGCTTTGGCCTGGCCCAGACCCAGCCATTGCTGCCATTTGAGGAGTAAAATAGTGGATAGAAGTGGAGGCTACAATGGTTTTCCCACCCTGATTCACTTAAAAACAAAATGCTGTGGTAGACACTCAAGACAAGTTGCCAGATACAATATTCAAAGAGTTACATTTCCTGCCCCCCCCCACCCCCCACTAAATGATAGCTCTGTGGGATGACTGCCAATGTAGCAGGAAATAGTGCCATCGGGGCCAGAATGGGTCAGAATGTAAAAGCAATGAGAAAACTCCATCAGGTAACAAGAAGTAATCACCCTGCCCGTTTTTAACAGATCTGACTGGCGATAACAAGTAGTCTTTGAAATTCTGTTTGAAGAGTCCAAGAACACAAGACAAGAGCATTCGGTATCAAGTGTTTCTAACCATTGTCACCTTTGAAATTTGGTTCAAAGCACATCTGTGAGTTACATACAACTAACAACATACTAAAAACAAGGCAACCTTTCTTACTCAAACCTTCTCAAAGAGAAAATTCCCATCTCAGTCTGAATGAGATGTGACTTCTCTCACAGGAATTGTTCCCTGAGAAGGGCGTTAGTGACTGGTCCCAAATGCCACAAGGTGCCCAGGCTTTGTGTCTGGGCTGTGCTTGTCTTCTGACATACAATCTTCTTTCCTAAATAAGTGGACTTTAAAGATTATCTTATTATTTATTATTCCAAAGATTATTTTATAGGCAGTGTGTTTCACCAAATCAATCCATCCATCTTGTTCACTGTCTCCAGAATCAGATATGACTTCCAACCAAGCCTATTCACACATATTTCTAGCTTTTTCTCTGTGAAAACTACAAAGATAGTGTACATCACACATGACAAAGACCTAACATTTTCTTTAATGAACTAACTTATCTCTGAAGTTGTCACCCCAATCACTTTTCACCCAGGATAAGAGCTGTGAGGTATGAAGGTCTCCTTTGGAAAGCATAGGTCATGCACCTGTGTAGGGCCAGCAGGGGCACCTGCAATCTACAGGTTTTACTCTCAACTTACGGTCCTGACATCCTCTACCATCTGAAAGTGGACCCTCTGGATTTCTGCAGGGTACAGTGATACAGCAGCACCCAACAAAGCCAGCTGCCTACCTTCAGGAATGCTTCCTTCTGCTCAAGGTGCTTGCTGATCATGGGAGTGACATGATCCGTCTCAGAGTTGGGGCCCAGCTTGTCGGCTCCACCACACCAGTCTTCCTCTCTCTTGTATTCCTGTTCCAAGCTCTCAAGGACACTGCAGACCTGGGAGTGGAAGAAAATTAAAGACTCAGTACCCACCTGGCCTCTCTGGGAAACACTTTCAGTTTGGCTGTGGGGAAGAAGGCACCACTGGAGGGACCAAACAAGCTAAGGAGTCATAGGCTTTCCTTGGTCTGAGGGCAAATGTGGGGTCTAGGCAGGCAGGACTTTCAGAACAAAAACAAAACCCAAGCTGCATTTCCTGTTTCCTTGTGACATGTTTCCATCACAAATTTTAGGAGAAGAAAAGTGGTATCCTCTCAGCTACTTTCAAACCTACTATTTTTTGCTGCCTAAGGTAGTGAAAATAATTATATTAATTAAAATTTTTAATAATTTCCAGAATGTGCCTTTCTTTTTGCTTGACTTGGATCTGACTGGTTCAATAACGACAGACATGTTAATAATGACATAGTTGTTCCATCAAACACCAGTTGGGAGCCCACGGGTCGGAACGGCTCTCCCACCTGCTCTGAGGTCTTATAGAAGGCCACGGATGCATTGACGAGCTTGAGGCGGTCTTCCATCTTGAGCATGAGCTGCTGCCAGTGCGAAGCCACCTTCTCGGCACAGTCGCGGATCAGGTCCATGTCGTAGTGGTTGGCCTGCAGCATGGCCTCTGCCTTCTGCTGCACCTGCAGCGCACTCTGGTGCGTTTTCTGGTCAGACGGCAAGGGAAGGCTGATGAGCAGGGGTCACGCAGGATGGCTACGGTAACTCTATTCTTGGTGACTTCACAGACACAACTTCAGTTAATGCTCATTAGGTTGCTTCTAAAAGCATGGCAGGCAGTTAAGTAACATGCTTCTATGCCCAGCAACAACTGAATTATGTCTAAGTCAACTAACAAAGGATGAAAAGCATTCCAACTTGCCAGATGGGTCTCAATCGTGGGGTTCTCAGTTCGAGAAATCTCAAGAAAGACCCTTAATGGCCAATATGCTAAAAAGGCTATTGAAATGTCCCCCACCTATTATTCCCATTGGCCCTTCCCCTAACAGCTGCTGGAAGCAAAAAAACATGTGGAGAAAGGGTGGCCAGAGGGAATGCTATTTTCTACTTAAACTCTCGACCCTAGTGAAAAGTTTTCAAAATCTACTGATTTTAAAAAGGACACACAAAAATGACTGGTAATTAAGGATGAACCAACTGTGTTCTGAGGCCCATGCCATATGAGAAACACATGAAAGCTTAGGGTGAATCCAGTGTATCACCCTAGAAGTTCTGTGAGGGGCTGAGGTCACAGTCTCCCCAGAAACTGAAAAGCGGCCAGAGCGGCACTTGGATCTCTATGGACACAAGTTTGTTTGCTTGTTTGTTTTAAATAGAAAAATTGTACATTTCATTTGAAGAGTGCAAATGGTCCCAGAAAACAATATACCCTTGAAAATTCAGCCCCATCCTTGACCCAGACCCAGAGATTTGATGTCGGCAATGTGCCCACTAAAAGTCACTTGCCCAGCAAGTTATAGGTTCTTAGAAGCTGCTGGAGTTGGCACCTCATGAAGAAGTGTTAAGAGGTATTCACGGTCTACCGTGCAGTTGGAAATAAATTATCTGGGAATAAATGAGTGGTGCCTGCTATGGCTTTCATCTCTGGCTAATAAGATGAATGTAAGGAGAGTAAGACACAAGTGTTCAGTCACCAAAGCTCCAGTCTCCTTGAGGCCACCATACACAATTATTATAGCAACCTCCCCCCTATCCCCTCAACTCCCTCCCCCAAAAAACCAACATAAAAGCAGCCAGTCCAAGGCTGAGCATGAAGGGGAGTGTGGCTAGACTGGCCCAAGCTATTCTGCGGTAGCACTTTCAACAGGGCAACACCCCTGGCCGTGGTGAACAAAGCTGCTTATAAGCATGGCTCTGAGGACTGTGTCAGCACGACCTACTGATAACAGGGTATTTACGGCTTGCGTATGGTCTTGGTGAGTCCCCAGCACTCTGCTTTGTGGAGGGAGTAGTACACATAGCAGGAAACGCCTACAAGATCAGAAAGATGTTTAAAAAAACCTCTAGCAGAGACTGCACTTTGTTCTCCCTGGTCTCGAGGTGTTTCTGACTGTTCTTGACGGCAGGAAGTGCATCCTGCCAGGGCCCTCACAGGTCCCTGACCTCTGGGACCCCTACAGTGAGGCTCCTGGCGGGGGTGGGTATCCTCACTTCATTGTTTCCTCCCCTGTAGGCCAACTGCTGTTTGATAAGCACTGCATTACCTAAAGCCGAGCCTCCTGTGGTCCCACAGTCATTGGCATGTCAGGGTTTAGCAGGCTTGTCCTGTGGATAGAGACCCTGCTCAAGACAGGGCCAGGCTCCTACCTCAATGGCGTGCTGGAACTGCTCATGCTCACGCTGGAGCTGCTCGGCTTCCTGTAGTGAGCTGGCGGTGATGAGCCCGGCATTGAGCATGGACTCTCCATTGCGGATCCAACCCAGCACCTGAAAAATGGCACAGGGTAACTCCGAGCAGAGGTTTCTCAGTGCACCCTGCAGGCCATCAGGAATGAGAAATGAGCCTGCAAGGTGGTCTAGCGGCTTCTGGCAGGTGTGAAGGACTGATTTCTTAACAGTTCTAACACTAATGGCATACTCTCCTAGAGTGGTACCTGCCTATTTTTAATTGATTCTGTTATTTTAGTAATGAATGGGAGATGCAAGGTGGAGGGCTCACTGAATTGTCAATGAATCCACAGGTCAAAATAGTTTGAGGATCACATATTGGAAAGCCTACTGACAAAGAATTCCCTGATAATCAACAGAACTGTTTTTATTCTCTTTCAGTCCCAATGAACAAGCAAGACTGGCAAACTGCCTGACAAAGGAGAATTAATTCACTTCACTAATCTATTCTCCAATTTATTTTGCACATCAAACGGCATGATAACCAAAAGTGCTAACTAATTTGTACACAATGTTCAAGGTCAGACTGAGATTCTCAGCTTCACACACGAACAAAAGGGGGAGCCAATTTCAATGGTGAAAGAAATCATGGAAAAATCATTCTGGAAAGTTATTTGTAGCAGAAACCTCCAGTTACCTACATGATAACGCTTCTCTTCTTGTTCCCTCAGAAATCCTTTTGAGGACTGCTTAAGAAAAAGACCCTCTAGCTCATTTTACAGCTTCATTATAGCTATGACATGATTCTAGCTTCAAAGCAGCAGTCTCCTGGAGGAGTTTGTGAAACTACTTCTTTTCGGAAACAGGTGCCTTCTCCTTGCCAAGGCCTAGGATGTGGGGGTGATGGGCTGAGTTATATCAGCTATTCAGCATTGATAAAGGAGAGGCCATCTATCACCAAGATCTCAGCCTAACATACAATGAGGCCGCTAAACAGACACCAGCAACCTACTATCCCCTGACCTGTTAGCTAGGGCAAACGCTTGATCTAAGCCAGCATTTTTCAGTCTCTGCTACTCACAAGTAAAGCCAATTCCTAAGGGAAATACTAGTTTGTTCCTTTATTTCTTAAATGAATTATTTTGTTTTTGGCAAGAAAGAACTGTTTTATCAGCAGGTCACAAAACTTCACTTCAATGTTTTGTAAATACATGCTACTGATGGCACAGGGGAGCCAGTGGGAGCCCTTTCAGTAAGAACGCTTCTGAACTGATGCCACGAGCTGCCTGCCTCTGCACTACACCTGGCTCCAGAGGCTCTCAAGATTGCTCTAATCAAACCAGCATTTGCTGTCCGTGCGCCCACCAGAGCACCGTGAGCCCTATTTGCTGCCACCAAGCCAGTTTCACAGAAGCAGACTGCCTGCCCACTGGATAAAATGCCATATCCATGCAGGGAATCCCTTCTACATGTCTACTTTTTATCTTACCATGCCACCCAGCATGTCCTTTACAGTATCTTGCTAACACAAGAAGGGAGTCCCAGCCATATGTGATCTGAGATTAAAAATCAAAGTTAATTAAACCAGGAAGCAAGTTGGTCAGGGGTTCAAACAAGGCTCCACCAACAGCTACACAAGCTAAGGGTATTATTCTCAAGTGCTACCCTGCTGGGCACTATAGAGCAGACAGTGCCAGGCCACAGGCTCTGATTCTACACGAGACACACCTATACCGGGTTAGGAGAACCTCGTCTATCAGGACAGCAGTGATTCTACTCAGGGACAATCTTCCCTGGTACTTACAGAAAAAGATGGAATTCCCTCCTGACAAGGCCCATCCCAACCTCCCAGCGCCCTTGGCTCACCTGCTTCACTTCTGCCTGCAGGTGGCGCAGCTGCACACACTGCTCCAGGTGCTTACGATGCTGTTCTGCAGCCAAGTCCAACTCCTGCTGCTTCTCATGAAGAAACTCCAGCAGGTCCTGGACCCGAGTTGCCATATCCACATCTCTATCACACAGCAGTTCCACACCTGCAGACATCAACCAGCCCTTCAACCTCCTGTTCTCAAACACTGGATGGCACACAACCTGCTTGGGTTATAACCTGCTGCACTGAAGGTCAGGTTCAAGGAGGGCATAGGGGAACATGTACACCTGAGAGGGTGTATAAGCCAACAAAACCCATCCCTATCTACTCCTACCTTAATAACTAGTGAAAATGCAGCATCTTTACAAATGAGTGAACTCAGTTTTCCTTTCACTGTTATCTTCAATATAAGCAGTTTATTCTTCTACTGAAGCATTTAGTTTACTTTGTGCAAAATGAATAACACAGTATACATGTTATTGCTGCCTCTAATACAATTCTGAGACTATAGTGACATCTGCTGGTAAAATGTAAACTAAGAAAAAATGAAGAGTAGGAAACATTTTCTTGGGATTTACATTTCATTCATAGAGCTACAACGTATCACTTTGTAAGTTCATGCTACTTGAAATAATATGTGGGAATATAAACGGCAAGTACTGTAACTGTAATGTGACTGTATTATTGCAGGAAAAATGCAAAACATTTCCTTGCAAAGAATAGATATCTATAACATCTATATCAGAAGGTCCAAAGGGACTTGGCAGGCATCACATTGAAATAAACTGAATTCTGGCTTGGGACAGGAGGGGAGAAGTGTTGTTTAGAAAAACCTTGGCTGACCTGGGACAGAATGACCCTTCTTACCAGAGGCCTGGACTTCGTTGACGTATTGCAAAAGATCTTGCCCTTGGTGGATGACATCAAAAGTCAGGTTGTTCATTGTCAAGGCTTTGTCTGCGTGGTGCTGGAGCCGTTGTTCTGCAATGGTGAGGTCTTCTGTGTCGAAGTCATTCATTTGCTGAGAAAGCTCATCGTTCCAAGACTCCAGGTCTGAGATGATCTGAAAGAAGGAAGTACCGTATAAGATCAGGAGCAGAAAAATAAACATGCACTGCTATATCTCACCGTGCCAAGCAAGAAAGGACTAAATGTGCCAAAAGGACACAGAAAGTGTGCACTGGAGATGGGTGGGTTGTGTGACACATAAATTATAGCTCAATAAAGTTGCTGTTTTCAAAGATATTTTAAAATAAATGTATACAGAAGCCAGTTGAAGGAGTTCTCACTAATCAAAGCTGGGACAATTAGCCATCCCCCCAAAAAATTACAACTGAATATGGTAAATACACAAAAATCCACTGATTTCTAATGGTGTCTTTAAATAAAGGAAGAAGAGCTTAAAAAGCCAAAAAATAAATGAAAAACTCTTTGGAGCCTAGTCTTTATTATGCAAATTAGTAATTAAAGGAGACATGATTATTTAAGCAATTCATGATGAAAGAAAGTACCTTCTTATAGGTAAATCCAACTATTAAATGTGCACAGAATAATAAATTTAGAAAATGATCTACTTCCAAGTTGTTATAAAATAACTGCCTCAGGCAATGATCACCCATGCAGTCAACTGTGATGGCAAAGGCTTGGAATGCCAGTGCCCCAGCACCACATCAGTCTCAGTCTCCCTGCTGAGCAGTGCTGATAGAGAGCTCCTGGAGTCTCTCTGCACAAAAATGGAACTTCAGTATGAACAAGTTTTGTATCTAACTGCTAAGTTAAGGGAAATATCAAAGAAAAACAGTTTAGCAACTTAGGGACATCCTGTGAGCAAACGCAGAATGTGGGACTTGTTCCTTTACCAATTGATCCAGTTATCCTGACAAGTCATGGCATGACAAAAGGGAGTGGAGCAGAAAGACAGACAGTTCTGGGAAGGGAATTAGCCATCCAATGCAGGCACCTACATGAATCTGAACATGAGCTGGGTATCAGAAGACAGTCAGAAGTGACTGCCTAGTTGGGGAGGCTGGGTGCTCTATGGGTAAGTACACAAATCTTTTAGACACTTAGGAAAGTCTTTAGGAGTGAAATGATTAACTGGCAAAGATTTTCTTTAAAACATTATACCTCAATAGTAACAAAAGAAGGGATATTTGAAGCAAAGGAGGTCAAATCTTGTTGAATTTGGAGAACAAGCATATGCACGTTTCATTGTACCATTTCTGGACAGGTTTGAAAACTTATATAATATGATTTTTTAAAATTAAGAATACAGCCAGCACCACGGCTCACTTGGCTAATCCTCCGCCTTTGGCGCCGGCACCCCAGGTTCTAGTCCTGGTTGGGGCGCTGGTTCTGTTTGGGTTGCTCCTCTTCCAGTCCAGCTCTCTGCTGTGGCCCAGGAAGGCAGTGGAAGATGGCCCAAGTGCTTGGGCCCTGCACCCGCATGGGAGACCAGGAAGAAGCACCTGGCTCCTGGCTTTGGATCAGTGCAACGCACGGGCCGCAGCGCGCCAGCCGTAGCGGCCATTTGGGGGGTGAACCAAAGGAAAAGGAAGACCTTTCTCTCTGTCTCTTTCTGTCTAACTTTGCCTGTCAAAAAAAAATTAAGAATAAAATTATAGAATCAAGAAAGGAGGAAAAATACTCCTTGTGAAAGCATACTATATACTCTAATGGAATAGTATAACCCGTGGATCCCAGTTTATTTACTCACATGAACATTGATCAAGTTAGTACAGAAATTGGGAATGTGAGGGACTTTACATAAAGATTCAGGTAAAAGATGCAAAAAACTTCAACAATAAAGACCTAAAACTCCCATCACTTCTCATCCTTCTGGCTAGGATCAAGTGTGAAGACCCAAAACTCCTAATGCACAAATCTTCCTGATTTACTTTTATTACTGGGGCATCCAATGTGTGCTATTGAATTGCACTGTTTTATAAAATTAAGCAAGTTAAGTAATGCCAAGTCATACATACACATGAAGTAACTGAGAGAAAAGAAGAAAAAAACCACACTGTAACTTTAATCTTTATTTCTCCTCTAAGGAGAATTTTCATTTCCTTGGCATTGTTTTCTGGCACTGAAGGAGAAGAAATTCAGGTTGCTACGGGCTAGCAATAACTCTCATGGGGACACCATACTCAGACAACATGAGTAATTCTCCCAGGGACACCAGTGTCAGACAACATGCATGCACCTAATGGATAATAAACAAAGATCAAGGTGCTGAAGCCAGCAGGATCTACAAACACTCATGGAGCAGAAAGAAACCCCGAGGACGCCCATGATCAAAGGGTCATCAGAAGATCTTGCTCTAAAGTCTAGCACTACAGCTTGTTGACAGCTCAGCAAAGAAATCAATGAAAATAACAAAACTCAAAAAAGTGAAAGTCAGTGTTTGAACTGACTTTTTAAAAAAATATATTAGAATTTGTAGAAAGTCTAAACTTCTCTTCCTGAATTTACAGGTAATTATGACTCTTTATTTTTTTTTTTAATCAAACTGCCATAGCATACTACATTAATGATTTTGTTAGTCTAGATTAAATAAGATTTTATTTGGAATATCTGTACGCTGAAATGTCAATATTCTAAAAAGAGGATTCCACAAAGCCATAGAAAACCTCTATATGCCACTGAGAAATGGTGATGGCCACACCAATGGGAAGAAGGGAGATGATGACGTTGGTTTTTTGAAAATTAGGCGACAACAGATGAATTCCTACCATAAGCTTAACCCGGTGCATCTCAGGGAAATCAGAGAGGAGATCCCAAATCCCTCACTGCTCAGATTGTTCACGTTTCAGGTTTATTAGAGGGTGGAGGTTCTTGGGCTATGACCTTTTAAAAGCTTTTAAACTACATTTGATGCTGGCCTCTAAGACTAACTGCAGATTTAATTTCCTGGGCTCTCTGAAACACACTTACCAGGGGCTTGGCACACAGGTTTTATCTGGGCACTTGCAAATTTGTGGCTCCAGGGTGGGGAAAAGGCATGAGAATGCTTTGTTTCCTGAACTGACTTAATGAAAATGAAAATATAATTTAAAAAAAATTTTCCCTTTAAAGTATCATTAATGCAAATGTCCTGGAAGAACTTCAATTATGCTTCTGATTGCTGTGCTTCTTAACTGAAAATACTCAGTGAGCAGCTAAGTTTTACAAAATCAAGTCATTTGACGTCAGAGGAGAAAGCAGGCCTGCAAAGTCTCCTGTTTATACTGTGCCACTGCTTCAAGCTGGGTGTAGGCTCAGGCCTTGTCGGTCCCTGGTGGGCAGGGACTAGTAGGTGTGCCTTTTATCTCCTTGCCTTCAAGCAGATCCAAAGGTCAAGACTCTTGACAGAACTCAATAAGGCACTGTATTGAGGAGGTAACTTCTTTGTTGTTTTTAACTGAGGATGACAATGAGAAGAATCAAGAAGGTCTTCCTGTAATGCAAACAGTGCTGGAAGTCTAGACTGGCAGTCAACCAAAGGTGCCTAGAACGGCCAGCCCTGTGCTGCCCCTGTCCCACATGCCATGCAGGTGGAGTATGCGGTCAGGCTGGGAAGAGCAACAGGGCTACCACAAGCAAAGTCCCCCTGAATCAAGTTATCCAGGGCAGTCAATGCCCAGCCCTGTCAACCCTGATTTTTGTGGCACTTGAGAGTCAGGGCCTGCCTGATGTCCTCTAAGCACTGTTGGCAAGTTCAAAACCAGGACAAGTAATGAGTGTTGAGAGGGTGCGCTCTGCAGATTCCACTCAGAGGTGCTCCAAGCAGGCCTACGGTCACTCATGGCCACCAGCATGCCATCTCACACACGCCCAAGAGAGTTCTGGTTTCGTGTTTCACAGATTCAGTCTCATCCAATTATACTTACCTTTGCGTGCACTATGTAAAATTAAAAAAGACCTAATCTTCCCTAGCACTCATCTCAGAACCACTCTCTTTATGTTGAAGAAAAATAAAAGGAGGCCTGTACTTCCTACTCCTGCTCACATATGAGAAGCAAAGGTCAGAATTTAGATAATGGGAGAGCACCTCTGTGGGGTTTCCTACCGTCTAGAATGTTATCCCTACAGGCTCAGCTTAGCCACTCTCCTGGTGGGAAGAACAGGAGAGAGGGGGATGGAAAGAGAAAGGGAGGAAGTGGAGAGGTGGGGAGAGAGAGGAAAAGGGGGGCAGGGAGGAGGAGGGCTCAGTGCCTTTTGTTCCTGTCTCTGCATCAGGACAGGACAGTGCTATGCAGCCACCCAAGGAAGGTGGAGGCGCACCAGACCAAGGCCCGCTTTCTAAGAGCCCCGTCTTCCATCACACTCTCAGCCCTCACTCTGCTCCACTCCTGCCACTGAAGCTGTTGCCCTTGTGCTGCCTCCACAGCAGGATCCCACCTCAGAGTCCATGCTGAGGAAGCTCTGAGCGCACCTGGGCCTTCTTGATTCTTCTCCCCTCAACCCTTCTAGGGAGGCTGGGGGTGTGGGGGACTCACGTCAATGGCGTCCCTCTCGAACACGCGCAGCTGCAGGAAGAGCTCAAGCTTGACCTTGCGCTCCTGGAAGAGCTCCTCCATCTGCGCCTGCGCCTCGTCCAGCTGCTGCAACACCGTCTCGATGTGGCTGATGGAGCTGTTGTGGGGGGTCTTGTTACTGGAGATGGCGGAGTCCCTGAGGAGGGCACATGAGGGAAACGGGATTTTAACAAGACAAACAGGAATTGAGTGAGAAAGTCACACATTGTCAGACAGCAGATCCAGCAACTCAAGTCTTCAGGAGGAAGAGAGCTGGCAGGAAGTTGGACTTTGTCTCAGAAATGGAAACTGCTGCCCCTCCGGCAAAACAATTTAGGCTCTTCCTCTAAGCACGGCGTGCTGTCCATCTGAGGACGCACTGAAGAATTCCTTTGGCATTTTCTGTACTTCACTTGTGCAAGAAGCCTAATAATTACAGGTCATTACT